TGCTGGTGATGATGATCCCCAAGATATTGGCTAGTATAGTCCCCTAGGCTCACAGTAATCATCAACCAACAGCCTTGAACAATGCCAGATTCTGGCTGGTAGATGGGTGAAAAAAACCTGTGGAAATTCTCGGTTTTCCCCATTATTTTTTTGAGTGTCAAACTCATGCTGAATCGCTTTGTGTGGCTTTGTTTGGCTTTGTTTGACTCCTGGAAGCCTCAACAAACTTACAAACTGGACCTCTGGAGCCTTATAGTTATTAATTATCCCAGTTTTTTCCACGAATAAAATGGTAAATAGCCATCCCGAATTGAAGGTTTATTGGGCGTACTGCCACAGCTGGAACCTACACCTTTGCAGAATGTGTGCATCTTGAGGTGGGAAAGCTAGCACTTTGATTTAGAGAATCTCCCGCTTCCACTGGTGATCAAGCAGTCTAAGCTGGCAGTAGAAATTCACCACATTTCTATCTATGCATCCGATGATTTGTTGCTGAGCAAACACATGTTCTTTCCCACTGAGCCATGTCGGAATACCACGAAGTCACAAGTGACATCCCCATTTCCGCGTAATTTATTTGGTTACGTCACCATACAGTACACCACAATTTATGCAATTACATCCTCACTAAACGCGCGTATAGCAACCCCCAACTATATGTTTAATAAGTTGGCGACCTGGAAATTTCTGGAAATTTCTGGAAGTTCACATCTTTTTGGGGACCCCCAAAAAGGCCCAAAAAGATGGCCCCTGAAGCCAAGCATCCAAGGCGCGCGCGAGATCCCGGCCAGTCAGTGAGAAAGATAGAGACACGCCGTGGCTCTGGATGCTGTAGCCACTGGAGTCCTCTTGGTGAACCAGCTGGAGCGATTGGGAACAACGGAACAGGTGACAGTAGGGTGTGTTCACCCAATGATTTTCATGGAATAGGCCAGATGTATTGAGGACTTATGATCAACAGAGTTATTCCTGACAGCAGTGGCTGATGGGTTCAATCTTTGGGTCTTGTGGCCATAGCTTCGCTGGATTTTCTACAGGAACCTATGGGTCATTCGGAATTACACACCCATTTATCTATTTCCCAGGATTCGCCAATGATTGCGATATATCTGAGCCAAAAAACAAACCTTTTAACATCCATTGTCCATTTACCCACTTACTTGATGGTTACAGTAAACATCATGTTCATTCATCAATTACCCATCATTTACCGGTTGTTTACCCATCATTTTCCATGGTTAACAGTTGATTCCCCCGCAAAAAATAATATGTACTTCGAGCACCAAGACTCAGAGTCTGTGGCAGAGTCGAAGCCAGATTCATCGCTGTCCCAGCCTTTGCAACCACATCCTTGGGGCGTGCGCGCATGTTTCTGTGTCTACTACTGTCGGAATAACAGAATAGACATACAGAACTCTGTATGTGCATATACATATATAGTCTCGTGTTCCGTGTTCCTACCCCCCCCCAATGGTATGGGTCCCCAGGTAGCACCCCGTTCCCTTCTATGTGCAAGCTATTGGCAGCATTTATGAGGTCCAGCCTCGTATTTGCTAGGTTTTTGCAGCGACTCTGATTCTGACTACCAGCCTCGCATCTACTAGGTACATGCTACCTTGTAGACGACCTCCGTAGCACACATACTCCCTCAAAGTACCTACGTGCTACCTATAGTTATATATGCATGTGCCATGTATCTACTTCCTATATATATATTATAGACACACACATATATATATATATACATACACATATTCATATATATATACATATAAATATATTCATATACATATATATACACTTACATACACATAGATATATATATATATACATGCATATAAAAACATATATATATATATACATTATACATATAAAAACATATATATATATACATATATACATATAAAAACATATATATACATAGTGTATACATGTATACACATATACAAATATATGTATATATACATACATATTTGCATGTATATATATATAATACATATACATATATATATATATATAATACATATACATATATATATAATACATATACATATATATATATATAAATATATATATATACATATATACATCTATACATATATACATATATACATATATACATATATACATATATACATATATACATACATACATATATACATATATACATATATACATATATACATATATACATATATACATATATACATATATACATATATACATATAGACATATGCATATATACATATATACATATATACATATATACATATATACATATATACATATATACATATATACATATATACATATATACATATATATATACATATATACATATATACATATATATATATACATATATATACATATATACATATATATATATACATATATACATATATACATATATATATACATATAATACATATATATATATACATACACATAATATTACAATATATGACATGTATTTACTTCTGTGTCTAAGAGAAGTCATGCATCTCTACGTCGCACATCCCCAGACCTCACCAAACTTTGCCCAGGCTCCGCATCCCATTGATTTCATCGCATCCACGCGACAGCAACGGACGCGCCAACGCTCCAAAAGTTATTACCCGTTCGAGCGGGTTCAAGGAGTGGTCAACTCACGGCTAAGCGGCTAAGACCAAGGAAACTTGAAAAAAATGGCCGGTTGACTAAGACACCAAAACGCCTGGCGAACCTGACTGGTTCATTGACAGATCGACCCACTTTTCGCGTAGCAAAGCACCAAGTTGTGTTTACACGTGACTCACGCGCCAATCTTTTTTTTGCCAATGGAAAAACACGACTCAAAACATCAGCAAAGAAACTGGTGATCATCTGAGATAGCTGAGACGACCAAGGTTCATCATACCATCGACTTGGGATCTAGTCCTAGGGCCTGGTCATCTCATGACTTCTTGGAATCCAAACATACTGGGCCTATGAATTGCTATGATTGTTGGATTGATGACCATTCCAAAAACATGCTGACTTCAATTTGGCCAAGTAAATTGACCATGGCACACATTTCGTATGCCCAAAAAATGGCTACACGCTGTGAGACGGCGCGGGTCACTGGGATCCGAGAAGTTTAACTGAAGAATCAAGAAACCACTCATTTCATGCGGATGTCAATGTGATTTAATAGGGATCTAATGGGGATCTCATGGGATATAGTGGGATATGACAATTCTTAGATAATGGGTGGGCCTAAAATAGGGGTGTTTACCCCCATTTTTTGTGGCCATTTCATGGGGACAACCTGTTTTATTTTTTTTTCGATTGGATGATTGGAATTGGAGCTATCTCATGCGACTTGGTATGTTTCACCAGGGGAGCAAAGAAACCAGAGGTTTCTAAATGTCGGACATAGTACCTTGCACTAATCTAGCCTGACAATCAAAAAAAGAATGCTCGCTCCCGGGAAGACATTAGTATAAAATCCCATAGAATCAGTGATACTATATAGTTAGTTATACTTGGATGAACTCAGGTAAGTTGGTTATTTATCCCTTTTTTCTATTGGCTATACCACAATTGATGGATTCCAAGTTGGTGTTCGAAAGTAATCCACTGACCTCTTCAATGTGTTGCCGTTGCCATAAGTTTGTGTTCTAACTACCACTAAACCTATAAAACCTATATATATATATACATAGAAATAGTTTGCCCATTCCTGACCATGAAAACATACAACTACGATGAACATGTGAGGTATCAAACTAGTTGGCGAATTCCGCTACCATTCACCTTGCAACTTGCAACCATATATTTATCATATCTATATATATATACATATATATATATATAGCATCATATCTATAATTTTTGAATCTAAATATACAAATCACCGCATCATAATGAACTGTCATGCATATATATATATATATCATGCATATATATATATAATATACATAAACATACGGTATTGTTCAAGCTATAGTTAGCGGCCACCCCTTGCCCTTGGCGGCCTTCATCTTCACGTGGCTCTCTGGAGGTCGATGCATCGCTCTTGGACGTGCCCTCCGCACCCTGGCAGGGCGGCGCCCCCATGGCGCTGTTAATCCCAATATCAAACAGCCCATTTCTATGGTTCCAATGATGTGGGATGTGGGATTTCCATGGATTTCCCTACTAAACCATGGTTAGGGATTAGTGATCAAAAGATATAGATATAGGGGATTTGGAAAGTTGAAAATACTTGAAAAACTTTATGGGGAATCGATGGATCGTCCAAGCATTTCATGAGGCTATCATGCAATAGCAAAGGGCCATAGAATAGGGATGGAACAATACACATACCAGCAAATACATACAAATTATGAATATGAGTTTGCCCATTACCCCAATTTATGGCCATTGGTTCACGAGAATAGTGACAAACCAGGAGGTTTTAATGTTAGTTTCAGTGGAGTTGGTCCCTGTGGTTCCAAAGTGGGGATACCATTCCTGCCGTAGTTTCAGCTCGTGAATCTTCAGAATCCCAATAGATATTTTTGCTTCAAATGTCCATTGCTGGTGAAGTGCCTCATTTTTCGTGAAGCTCCTCATTTTGGCAAATCCCAAATGTTGGTTAAATCCCAACAGTAACTGTTACTGCTGGTAAAATCCAATGGTTTCTTGGCATTGGTTAAATCCGAAATATGGGTGAAATCACAATTGTCCAAGTTGGTAAAATCGAATCGATTCTCCAAGCTGGGTCGTGCCGTCGTGCCCAACGGAACTAACCAAGGTGTCCCCCTCCCCACCATCCCCACCATCTTCCCCATGGGCAGCGTGGTCTTCCGGTCATCGTCCAGTTCCAACCATGGAAAGGCTCTACTCATGGAGCCTGGATGGACGTTGGACGGATGGCGTCATGATGTGGAGTAATGTGGACGTCAAAACCACTTGGAAAATATGGGTTTAACCGGTTTAACTTCAGCAAATCACTTGAAATAACTCGAAAACTGCGGCTTTTATTTAAGGTGTACAAATCCATGATATACATTCGCAACTCCAAGTATTTCAGCTGGCGCGATCATCCAAAATTGCTGAAAGATTCCCAGATTAAATCCTTGTTTGACAGTTGGAATCGAATGTCTATTCCTCCCTTTGAAATCCAACAAAAAAAACTGAAACACATCATGTTAAAAATATAGAATCCATAAAGACTACTGTACATTTAAAAAAAAAAACATCAATCCAAGATCAATGCGTGCCCCCAAAAAAACAGTTAAAGAAAAAAAAGCTAAATTCCATCAATTCCATAAATCAATGTCCATTGTTTCATCCATGCAGTTTTTCTCCATTCTGAACGGTCGCCTGAATCAGCAGCAGCCAAGATCAGAAGCTGGAGCAGACGATCCACCTGGATTCAATGATCACCAAAAATTATGAAAAAAAATGATGATGATCCCCAAGATCAAAAAAATCAATGAGAATTCTCATGAATTTGCATGGATGATTATGATATATCATGACATATCATTGATATCATGATAATTCCCAAGAACCTTAGTCTGGGTAGTCTAACCCCCGGAACTAATCAAGCAGTGGTGTCATCTTTGTCCACGCAAGGAACATGAAAAAACGTCCATGATCACCTGACATTTAAAAATGCTTATCCGGTTGAAACATCTGAAGATAGATTCGTGACGATGTGTTTGTGAAGGTTGATGTGATTTCGATTCGATGAGATTAGATTTGGACTGGATTCAGATTTGGTTGTATGGTCAGGTTAGATTGGATTATGATAGAAGTGATTGGATGGGATAAGATAGATTAGATAGATGAGATGGACAAGATAGATAAGATCGAAAAGATAGATAAGATAGATGAGATGTATAGGATAAGATTGGATAGTATAAGGCTTTCTCCTGAGCCACATTTGCCTTGCTCATACCTGAAATCATCTGTCTGAAGAGGCTGGTTTCCCTATGGATGGGAATCTTGCAAAGCTAACGAAAAAATGGCCGGGTTTATATAGTTCGATGATTTCGATGATTTACCCATTACAAATGCTGATTCAAAAGACTTAAAGATCACTATGTTGGAATTGAGGGTCTATGGTCACTATGGTCCGTGGCCAACTTTCTGGAAAAAATGTTTCAAACCCACACCTAGTAAAATCTCCAGATTCTAAACCTGTTTTGGGTACCAAAAATGCTGCAACGATTTACCCTACTGGGAAAAAAACCATGCTTTCCCGGAAAATTGTGTACCCTCTGGTAATGTGTGACAGTTTGCTATTGAAAATGGCCCAGTCGAAATAGTGGATTTGCCCATTTTTTCAATGGTGGATCTTTCCATAGTTTTTTTGTACACGTTTACCAGAGGGTAAATCCACCATGTCATCAAAAATGTCCATTACAACTTGATCCTTGAATCATAGAAAAATGTCATCAAAAATGTCATACAAAAATCTCCTCCATTGAAAATACCCTCTGGTAAACTAACAGTTTGCGACATTGAAAATGGCCCAGTCGAAATAGTGAGTTTTCCCATTAAAAAAATGGTGATTTTCCACAGTTTTCCTATTAAAAATGGTGAGTTTTCCTACTTAAAATGGTGGATCTTTCCATAGTTTTTTGTATGTTTACCATTGAAAATAGTGAGTTTTCCATAGTTTTCCCATAAAAAATGGTGATTTTCCATAGTTTTCCATAGTGATGTTCCATGAATCATTTCCCATCCCATCCTTTTCTCGAAGTCGTCGCACCTCCTTCCTTTGCGGCACCGTGAGGCATCGGCAAAAGATCACCGCCGTCAGCAGGGAGCACAGCCATCCTCGGACATCCAAAAAATGGCGGATTTTTATAGGGGATTCGCCAGAAAATGCGGGAAAAATCATGGAAAAACTCGATGTTTTACATGATTTTACATGATTTCACCAGGAACAACATGAGTGATTTGACATTTGACTGACTAAGAAAAATTGAGCTTATATACTTACCCTCTGGTGATGGAAAACAAAAAAAATCGATGGAACATCAGGATTTTTGTAAATCAATCGATTTTCCATAACAAATTGCCAGAGGGTGATTCCGTGATTCCTCTTGGTTGATGAGGGGATACCACCCTCGGCCCCCCGTGATGTGATGTTTGTTTTCAGCATGAACTAGTTCGATCATGTTCGATCTACCCTCGGGTTATGACTAACATAGCCATGGTATAGATGGCCCATAGAAATAGATGGTTTACCTATTTAAAATGGTGATTTTCCATAGTTTTTTGTATGTTTACCAGAGGGTATATCAGATGATCCACAGTTATCCGCCACAATTACCATCAGTCACAAGATGTCACAAGTGTCCCAATCTGAAACATGCGATCTTTCTCCACATGTTTTCACTCCAGACTCTGTGGAATCTTTTTTCGATCAACCTCCGCGTTCGGGAGAAGACTTAGAGACCTATGGGACAACCCTTTTTTTGTGGATAATTAGTGGTGTTTATTTAGTATGGTTCCCATTCCATTTTCATCGATTTGGCAGGTCATACGTTGACCCATAGCGACGTGAGTGATAAATGCAAATCCCACTTTAACATAGAAACTTGATGATTGCTGGTGATACGGCCGAAGTGCTGCCTCAACCTTTCGATGGGCGCAGCCATTTGCCACTGCTGCAAACTAGCTATCACCCGGTGGTATCAAACATGGTTGGCTGGAAAATCCCCGAAGTAAATTCAATGGGAATCTCAGGATCCTAAAATGGAGGTACTGTACCATATAAGGCCATATTTTGTGGGGACATAGGCCTCACATAGGCTTTATATATGCTAGGTACCTCCAATTTAGGATCCTGAAATGGCCATTGATTGCGTGGGCAAATCATCTATGGTGGATCTTCCATTGCCATGTTTGAGTACCAGAGGGTATGCATCCATCGCTACTCATCTCAGTTGTTTTTTGTTACACATACAGTACCGTGTGCACTGGTACCAGTAGGTAGTTTCAACATGTTTCAACCCATCATTTTTCTTTCAATGGGAATCATCATCCCCCACTGGTACAATTTCGGAAGCAGCAGGGGCCAATCATTCAATCATGGTTGAGGAAAACAGAAAATCAGCACCGTGATTATCGACACCGTCAACGTAAAGTGATGATCGACAACTTCGTGAAGTCTGTGCATTTGGAAGCATAAACCACAGAAATGCAGAGGCCGTCCACTGAAATTCCCTGCGTTAGAAAAACAACAAGATACTGTGGATGCGAAATCCGAATCACCAGTTGATGGGCAAAATCCCGTTATTTATAGGGTTTCAACATGTTTCAACCATCCCAAATTGGTGGTTTATCGGATTTCGCAACCATCCACAGTATGTCCACTTTTTTGTTGAAACGGCTCTCTTTGAATAGCAGGTGTCTTTCCTTGGACTCTTTAAACCCTGGTGAACCTTGAATACATCCATATGTCCCATGGGTTACCCCATTATAAATCCATCATAGTTGGATAACCCCCCATTAATATCAAATTATATCAATCATATCATAATATCCCATAATATGATCATGGTAAAGGTTATATAAGTTATACATATATATATATTCCCATTGTAAACCCATTCATATATAGATAATTTTCCCATTGAAACCTCCATTTATAGATGATTTTTATCGGTGATCCCAGAAAATTCGACTTCCGTGGCAGCCGTGGCTCGATGTCGAACGGAAGACTCATCCGCCTATTTTGGGCACGGCACGGCGACCAGTGGGGCGACCAGTGGCAGTCCAAAATGTCGTGGCTTTACTTGGTGAAAATTATAGCCATAGGGAAATTTCAGAGGCTTTCCCATTATTATTGGGTATTGCAGCCTATGAAAATCAGTATAACCCAATCAATCACTGGTATTATATCAGTGAAGCAGCTAGTAGCCTCTGATCATTTAATACAGCTATCGAAAATGGCCCATTTATAGATGACTCCCCTATCAACAATGGTGGATTTTACATGGCTATGTCAAACTACCGCAGGGTAGCCGCTAGTAGCATTCAGAATTATAGTCGCAAAGTCTGATCAAAAGCAAACCCACATGTGTTGTCCATGAAATCTATGCAACCCCATCCTTCTATGCAAAATTATGTAGCGAGATAAATCGGAGTACTTTTAAATCATCTCGAATTAGGCTAAACAGCTATATGCAAGAAGAAACAGCTAATTTACCCCAGGATTTCCCAAAAAAAAAATGACCCAATCATCCAATCGCTGCATTTCGTCGAATCTTCGTCCCCCAAAGTTCCAGCCTTCTCACCTATCTGCTTCATGATCATGAAACCTGAGTAGTTCACTGGCAGGAAAATCCTGACCGAAGATCTGCAAAAAGGAACTGGAGATCTGCAAACAGAGACGACCTTGACAACGGCAAGCCATTTCTATACCTGAAAACGTGAATTCCCTGATCTTTTGACGCTCCAAAAAATCGTAGACCCGGAAACAAATATAGAAAAATCATCACTACTTCATCTATCAGATCTATCACTACTTGGTGAGGTCTTACGTTTCTTCTACCCTCTGGTAAATTAACATAACTATGGAAAATCACCATTTTTCATGGGAAAATCAACTATAAATGGCCATTTTCAATAGCAAACTGTTAGTTTACCAAAGGGTATCCCTTTGGTGGTACCCGGACCCGAACCGTGGCCAGTGACAAAGCAGGGATTGTGCCAAACGTTCCACCGTGGCTGCGTGGAGGTGCAGATGCACCGGTTTCGGTCTGGCGTGGGTTACGCTGGCTGTGTTTCATAAATGATGGTGGGAAATCACCATGGAAAATACACCATGTATATGGAAACATTAATATATGGAATATTAATATGGAAAATATGGATGGGAACATTAATATATGGAAAATATACCATAAATATATCTTCTGTCAGAATCTGGATTACATATATATATATATATGGATGGATTATGATGTCAGTTGGGATGATGACATTCCCAACTGAATGGAAAAATAACAGCCATGTTCCAAACCACCAACCAGAAAATGTGCCTAATCGATCATAGGTGTGTCATAAGTCATCCCCTAGAAAGTTTGTAGACTTTGAATATGGTTGAAATGAAATGAAAAAAGAAATGGAGCTATCCCAAATCATCCAGTGGTCATGGATGACCATTACTTGGGATTGAAACCCTTTTTGTCGCTTGGGGATCCCCCAGTTTAAGAAACCTCCATATATGTTCAAATCATGTGCTACTGGATTTTAGGTTGAAAAGGGTGCAAACATTTTTTTCGAGATGTTTACTGAAAAAAAGATTGGAAAATTGCAAACAATGTAAGTTGTTACCAAAATGATGGATAGTCTCATATCATTCTAGCCAACAAAAACCAATATCTAAGATATCTATGTAAATGATTCGACGACGACGACGACGACGACGACAACAACAACAACAACACCCAAGTAGACTTTGACCACCGCAACCAGAAAGAGGACTTGAGCAGCAAAACCGCAGCCAATGCATTCGTTTTGAAGAAATGTATGGCCTTTGAAGCCTTTTCAAACATGGGGAGAGATGGATTTGAACGAAGAACAACTATGACGAAAACACCAACATCCACCAACATCCACCAGGTTCAACGACCGCGTGGGTCGTTTTTGTGGAACCATTCGCAATTTTGAAGCATCTCCAACTGATGGGTGGTGGGTCAGTGGTTCTTACGGTACTGATCCTCCAATTTCCGAAACAAAAAATTCGATGAATGTCATGCTCACACGACTGGGCTAAATGCCAAGATTTGGAAGATCATCAAATTCCATCAAACTCAGGATTCTCCAGTTGGTGGGTTTTCACCAGCTTCACGTCCATTCTGTAAAAGATCCCCCATATTTTTTTGATCATTTTTCTCCACCTCCCAGCCGCCTGTACTTCCAATGCAGGCACTCAGGGTACAAATTCGCAAAGGCCGCCGCCCGCACCGTCAAGTTGGACAGGGTGGCCATGATGTCCAGCACCTCAGCAGGTGGAATTTGCCGGATCATCATGGTTTCTATGGTTTTTACATGTTTTTACTGCTGAAATCCCCAGTGTTTTACTGCTGAAAATCATCCAAATTCCCTGGGCCTTGCGGCCTTCACAGATTTCAGGCCTCCGATTGGCACAAAATCCGCAGAATCTCCTTGATCGTCCCCAGACTGACGCCAAGCAACTCCCTCACAGCCCAGAAATAAGAGTTCCATGGGTCTCTGACTCCTCAGTTGACAGGTCACTGGTAAGACTGGTAAGATTCTTCTGAATCTAAGATCCAAGTATGCAAAGTGACCAAGAAGAAAGCTAGAAACGCTATTGACCTAGAAAAGTGAGCGGGCTTGCCAAAGAAAATCGTGGACATATCTAGCCACAAACAAGGCACTGCACAGAATGGGAGCGCAGAAAAAAGGGCTTGCAACGGTTTGCATTGGTGTTTGCTTCAACAACATAGCTATGAAAAATGGTCCATTTATAAACAGAGTGAACATAGTTGAACCATTTTCCATAATGGCATTATTCATATTGGACCATTTTATTATTGGTGTTTGGTTCATTTATTATGGCTGATTATCCATAGCCATCTGCCAGGATTCAGGATCAAAAAACCGCCCATATCTGCCATATCTGGTTACCATCGCTTCAGATCCGTTCAGCTTATGGGATCGAACCCAACCGCATCAACGTCACAAAGCCATATGGTTCCCATAAAGTAGCCCAACTTTATAAGCAATAATAGCTCATACTAGCTAGCCAAATTGGATACATTATTCTTCATGATTCTTCATGATTCTTGTCTTTTTTCACAAATGATGCAACAAAAATACCAGGGATTTTTGCCAAAATGTCCTTCATATTCTTTTTTCACAAATGATGCCAAAAAAAAAAACTGTTTGTTTTTTTTGCCCAAAAAACATGTCATGTGTCATCAACCTACAGCCGCTACTCGCAGCTGCGGTTTCGCCAAAGCTCTGGGAAGAACCGATGTTTGGCCGACGACTGAAGATGGCTTGGTCCGGAATCCCCGCGGTCAAGTCCTCAGCGGGGCCACGGGGCCACGGCCACGTGTCAAAGATGTGATTCACCCTCTGGTAATGGCTGACATATATAGAAAATCACTATTCTGAAAATAGGTAAACCAGGTAAACCATCTATTTCTATGGGCCATTTTCCATAGCTATGTTTACCTTGATACATATCAAGCTTCGTAGTTCCATGTTACGAGATTTGATTTGTAGAAATGTGTGAAACACACTGTGTTTGAGCATGTATGTATCTAATTGTAAACATATATGTCATATATATATAATATAATATCCAAAACACTTTCTGTGTATATACACCAACCCTGACCAACAGTGGCTGAAGCGAGAGAGGTAAACGAGGTAAACTGCGGGTCCCTCAATCCAACAGAAGCCTCAAATGCCTATGATTTCCACCGAAGATGCTATGGATCCATGGAGAAAATGATCTATTTTGATCCATTTCATTTGGGGGTATACTATGGATTACTATGGGATTACCAACAAAACCATGTCAAGAATCATGCCTGCCAGCAACAGGCAGCCGTGCATGATCAAGCCGATCATTAAGAAATGCCAAGTTCTGGCCAAATTCCAAGCAGTTCAGATCCTTGGGAATCGTCCTGACCAAGTTTCAGCAGGTCTATGTTTTTTAAACAGGAACATCTAAGTTTTTTTTTCTCCAGTGATAGGGCTTTCAAGCCTAAATCTTCAAGCATTTGCATGCCCAAAAAAAAAAGGATCATGAGGGTAGCTTCTCTTGATGTTTCATCATGTGGGGATGGGTCAAAACCCTGGTACCTAGTAAACCCCTAAAAATAGCTGGGATTTATGGATGTTCATCCCACTATAGTAATGGTATCTATAGGTATTGACCCATACCCATGTTTCATCATCTTCAGCTGCCGTCACCGAGCGTCCATAGGCCAGGGCACCGCATAGGCGTCCGAGGCATCCGAGGCGTCCGAGGCGTCCGAGCTTCGACCTGGGGTGTCAAGGCTTGGAAAAATAGAGAAACATGATGAAACATGGGAGATTTCAGCTGTGTAACCAACAATATTAGATGTTCTTTTGATGCCTGAAAATTATGAATTTGCAGAATTCAACAGCAAAAATACGGTGATGTCATGGAATGTTAGTGGGGGGTTAATTGGATTTCATACGGATATCTCATGGGATGCCAAAAATGATGCGCAATGCGTCTGTCTGAAAGTGGGGAGATTGATCCTCGCTGTTGGGGCGCCCAATTTTCCAGACCCATTTGGAGCAGTTTCTCTGCCTTACACTGGTAGAAGGGGATCAAATATTCAGCCTTGACTCAACCAAGATCTTCCGAAGATCTGGTACTGACTTGCCAGAACCCCTCTTTAAATCGAGAGAAATTGGGATTCGAAGCAATATCCAGATTTCAGGAAACAAGAATTGCATTCCAACGCACGTGAGGTTTCTGGGAACACTGTCGAGTCTTTTTCATCAGCAATACATAGGAGTTCAAACAACAAACATCCGGATTGTAGCTATCTCGAAATGGGGATGTTGATGAACAAATCTGTAGTTTTAATCAACAAGGTCTCATTCATTGCTGCCAAAGAAAAATCATTGACAGATTAGTGGCAGCTTTTGGCGAAAAAAAACGAAACGGGGTTGTTTTTTCGGATGAGTCCTCCCCCAAATCATACCTACATATCCCACATCTTGTCCATCATAAGATATGTATAAATAGCCATTATATGGATCATCTACCGGGAAACCTCAAGCCTCTGTTGATTCTTTACTAAAAATGACAACAATCGGACGTTTTTTGAGTTCCATTCTTCTAGATTTTGGTGGTCAATCCCCATTTGGTGGACTAGTGGCAGATCACGATGTGTCCCTGAAGAAATTGCATGGTTGATGAGTCAATGATCACGTTTACTTGGGTAAGCCCAAACTTTTAGTGGTGAATCAAATCATTCTCCCGTTCACGTGGTAAACCCAATTTCATAAACCATCTCTAAAAATCTCTAAAAGCACCATTTTTACGGGCGGGATTCCGACCAGAAATCCCAGATTCCAACCGGGCCCCGGGCCATGGTCCTGGGTTTATTTATGGCAGCCAGGCTTGCCCACATTCATGAATATATACATCATGGTTATATCAATGGTTGTATGTATTACTATATTCACACACATACTACACTATATCTTATATATATACAGTGTGCGTAAATATATAATATACCATTTGTATGTATATATATATGTATACACAGTGTGTATATATATATATATACAGTATGTACATGTATGTACTCATTAATGAATATATACATTGTAAATAAACGCACACATATTAATGGCGCATCACCATGACCCATCGGCTCGGTTTTTTGGTTTCCAGGCCACCCGCAATGAGCGGAGCGTCCAAGAACCTCAAAGGTGGAACTGTTGGGTCACCGGTCCAGGTAGTTCCAGGGGTAACTGTCTACAGATTGTTCAAGGCATGTTCAACTTATTGGTGCTAAACGTAGGGAATGGATGGGAATGGATGGGTTGCTGGGAGTTGCTGGGATGATTATTGATAGTTGGCCAGTGGATCATTCCCGAACATTCCCTGCGTTTAGCACCAGTAAGTCAAAACACCAATTTACCGGGACACACATGCCAAGCAGTGGGGTGAAATCACCCGCAGGAATCCTGTGAGTTCAGTGAATTCAGGATAGTGTCTGGTGGGGTCAACTAACCCACACGATTCCTGCATTTGTTCCCCAAGGACAGCGGGGTTCGGATCCCAGGAGTCACATGTGTTATGGATCAAAAATTGAGGACCTTGGAGACCATTCTTTTGATTTGCCATGAACCAACCGCCAACCGCAAAAAATACCACAGGCCGAAAAGAATTTCGCGAAGATTCCCAAAGCGTTCAGAGACTTTGGACTGTTTTTTGTGACAGCAAATAATCTACTCCAATCACCCACTTGGAAAGCTATCCATTGCAAAATCCATGCCATAAACAATCCGTTCAAACTATAGTTACTGCAAGTAACCCATTTTTCATCTCATCCGGCAGTCAAACATGGCAATTGCAGGTTTTTCATGGGGAAATCCTCATATTTTCATGATTAGTGGAGGATGTTCCAGAGGGTACATGGCAGACATGGCATGATCTAAATTGTGGGTACCCTCTGGTAAACTAACATAACTATGGAAAATCACTATTTTTTTATGGGAAAATCCACTATAAATGGTGATTTTCCATAGTTATGTTAGTTTACCAGATGGTATGTCTTTTAAATGAAAGTGCCTCCAGTTTTACGAGGCAAAACTTCTGATCATGGCCAGTGCAAACTGGGGCTGGTCGTACCGGGCGAAGATCAAGCACGTCTTGATTTGAAATATCTGATATGTTAATATCCTTTGATGGTTTATGTTTCGAAAAAATGTGTTGAATGGTTTATGTTCAATGGTTGATATGGTGGTCAGTGGTTAGTAATGAGTAATAGTGGTTATAATCATTAACCATTACTATTAATCAACATTAATAGTGGTTTATGGTCACTAACAATGAAGAACCTGGTATAATGTGAGCCATCCCATAAACCAACCCTTCCATTGACCATGACTGGGGGTCATTTTAGTGTACATCATCTCATTCCTAGACTATACTCAACATTAAAAAAAAACTCTATTCGGGAATAACATGCAAAAAACATGAATGGGACATAGTGTATACTATGTCCCATTAAGAACATTATCAGGTATTTATCACATTGAATGGGACATGATTTCCACGAAACTGAAATAGGGCTATCCTGGGGATGGTTATCCTGACACCCGATAGCCATCATCTACCATCATCTACGTCGTGACTTCGCGATGGGAGGTCGTAAGAAAGGCGAGGTCGTGCGACAGGTGGATATGTTTCTTCTCATGGTTATTTTTCATGGAAAATATGATTCAGATGTTTTGATATTTTTTGATATTGTTTTCAACCACAAACCATGAGATTTGGGGTGCTTCCCCAGACGATGCACCAAGGTCGTTCACCTATGAAGGATTGGATTGGATTGGAGGAGGACGTCAACCTGCTCCTCACCGAAGTGAAGTAGTTAAGACGCCGAAATTGCCAACGCTGAGCCGGAGCTCTTTGCACTGAACAAACCGGAGGGCAAGTTCAAGTCAAGAAAAGTACCACCCATGCAGCTGAAGAAGCAGCAAATGCTCATTCAAACGACCTGTTTTGACGTGGTTCGTGTTCAAGCAAAACTTGCCAGTAGGGAAGAGAACCCTTTAGTTGCGCCTTCCAAGCTTCTCCAGCCCAAACAACAGCCTCTCTGTGTTGTGACAAACAAGTAGCAATCACCTGCCGAAATTGACCTGTAAGATCAGCCGCGCTAGCATCCGCATTGGCATTGAGCATGCGGCAACGCAAAACATCAAGCCACCCTTCGGGTGGGCGCCATCGAGGAACTTTATCATGCGAGGGAATCCACGCACAAGAAGAGCCATCAACCAAAAGCATCCTGATATAATGCCAGTATGGAAAAAGATCTCCACCCCACTGTCCAAGCCGCATGCCACGATGAAGACGTTGCACAAGAGCTTGGTTGTCAATCAGCAAGCGCACCGCTCTGTTCGCTTCATGGGAAGCCAAGCAGGCTTGAAGAAGTGCACCTCTCTCGCCCGCAGCAGGAGTTTGCTCGAAACCATGCACCAACCCATTGACCGTGGGCCCGAGATGAGCCGCCACAGCCCAGCTGGCACGCTGCCAAAGTTCGCACCCTGGAGCGATTGCACAACTTCCATCCAAGCCCAAAGTCGGCGTTTGATGTGGGTCAAACTGTTGTAGAAAAGCCACCAGAATGGGGTCGGCCGTCATATCTTCAAATGGAAGAACAGCTGGAGCATCCACAAGAGGAACAAGCAACCGCCTTTCAGTTGGAGTTTTGAGATCACCATGCCAAGGATTTGCCTCGCAGTAGAAAGTGAAATGCTCACGATCAGGAGAGCTCAAACCACAATCACACTGCAAGTCGACTTCCAAACGTTGAGTAACTCTCCCATCCACTGCTGCACCTATGAAGGACCGCTTTGAGGCCTGGTTCACTTCCGAAGTCTCCCCGTTCTTGGTACCGCTTTGGCCATCTATGGCTTATGGTTCTTGACCAACACAACCAGTTCTATCCAGTTCTATCAGATCTCTGTGCCGCTTCGATCAATTTCTCGTTATCGAAAACTGCCACTTCTATTCACTCAGATTTTCGAGATTTCTGTTCATTAGCATTTCATTGTTCGCATCTTTGCTGCCTGAGACCCCCATTTCTGCCACCTAATTCTTGCTGCCGCATTTCTGCTGCCTAAAACTGCTATTCCTGTTTATGAAACTTCCGGTTTGGTCATATGTTTCATCATCTTTCATAATGATAATGGTGGATAAAAACTGTGTTTTGTTGCTCAAACTGCAAAGGCATCAAATGATAAAAATCCGCAAACCATGTTTTGGGGATTGATTAAACCATCAAAATCCAGTTGATTTTCATTGGGTAAATCAACAAATTTGGGGGATGATCCCCAATCACAAGCATCATCATGGTAAGCTAAGTGCTGAAAGTAAGTGGCTGAAAACCCGAACGCCCAGGGGCTGGATGACCCGAAATTTCATCCCCATCGCCATCTAACCCATTTTCATGTGGGTAGAACTATGCCATAAACGCACCATCCCCCAGTCACCATGCCATTATAGCTGGGATTCCAACCATTCCCAAATGACTGCTTTATGATTGTCGAAAAAACACATTACCCTCTGGTAATTTAACATAGCTATTGAAAATGGCCATTTATAGTGGATTTTCCCATTAAAAATGGTGATTTTCCATAGTTATGTTAGTTTACCAGAGGGTAGTTCCAATAGGTGCCCCATGTTTTTTTTCGCACCTTTGAACCACCATTCTCCAAGCCGCTCCACCGCCGTTCGCCGCGCCGAGCGCAAGGTCTGCCGGAGCAGGATCCACAAAAATATCACCGGGCAAAGAATGAGGATCTCATGGAGATCATGGTGTGTATGTATATATATATATATATGTGGTGTGTGTGTGTTATCCATGATAAATATATATATATGATATCTTTATCTATTATATAATTAGGTGTATATATATATGTGGTGTGTGTGTGTGTTATCCATGATAAATATATATATGATATCTTTATCTATTATATAATTAGGTGTGTGTATGTATATATATATATGTGGTGTGTGTGTGTTATCCATGATAAATATATATATATGATATCTTTATCTATTATATAATTAGGTGTGTATATATATATATGTGGTGTGTGTGTTATCCATGATAAATATATATATATATATATGATATCTTTATCTATTATATAATTAGGTGTGTATATATATATATATATATGTGGTGTGTGTGTGTTATCCATGATAAATATATATATATATATGATATCTTTATCTATTATATAATTAGGTGTGTATATATATATGTGGTGTGTGTGTGTGTGTTATCCATGATAAATATATATATATGATATCTTTATCTATTATATAATTAGGTGTGCATATATATATATATATGTGGTGTGTGTGTGTGTTATCCATGATAAATATATATATATATATGATATCTTTATCTATTATATAATTAGGTGTGTGTATGTATATATATATGTGGTGTGTGTGTGTGTTATCCATGATAAATATATATATATATGATATCTTTATCTATTATATAATTAGGTGTGTATATATATATATATGTGCATCTTCACCATCCTAACATAGGATTTGAAACAAGACTTTTTGATGAAGTTTGAATCTGTTCAAACAAGCCTGGCATAATCACCCTAGTGAAAACCTATGACCAGTGGCACATCTTCCCAGTTGCGGGGGATCTCCAAGTCACCATGGTTGTTTCAATACTAAGTCATGGTCCAATGACTTGGATGATTTCGGGGTACCACCATGGCTTTGGAAAGCTCCACGAGGGTATACAATGGGACTTCATGAGGAATCATTGGGATATCCCAGGGATAATTGGATATAATCTGGATATCGGCATCAAACATGTGCATTAAACTTTAAACCAACAAAATGGTGGTATAATGGGATATCATGGGGATATAAGAGGGATCAAATACAGAGATTATATTGTATATAATCAACTTAGTAGCTTAGTAACTTAGTAACTAGTATATAACTCCTGTTCTGTTGAACAAAAAAAAGACGATTCTTTAATGAACTAGACTCTACGGTTCTCTTGGAAAAAAATGATGAACTCTCCGTTTTGTTGTTCGTCAGATCCAAAAAAACTAATGATATCTAGGCCCTGATGGCTGCTGTATTTTTGGCATGTTAAATTTTCGCATGGCACCTCCAAACGCTGTAGGAGGTGTTGAGAGGCAGCGCTGCTGCCCAGATTCGCCCTGGGAAATGGACTGTTTTGACCTTTTTGGAGAGATTTCACAAATTTTTAATGGTGGATATTCATAGACATATCAACTAAAATGACTAAAATGTAATGTGTAAGTTTCAACTTAGGATGTTTGGAGATATTGATATCAATCGACTAAAAATTGTAAAACTGAAGCCTTTCATATTTGCAATTTGAAGCATGAAAAATGGGGACATGAATCAGGATTCGTAAAAAAAGGTGGATTCGAGCATCAAAAATGCTGAATTCACCATCAAAATCGGGGATCTTTTGGGATGTGAATCAACATGCCTTGGGATCTTAATCGACAAACCTTGGGATTTGGGGGTCTCTGAAAATGGGTTGTACACGAGCCTTCAACGACTCTTTTTTTATATAGAAACTGATGATCGACCCAAAGATTCCGGGGTGCCTTAGTGAAGACAAACCCAAGTTCGAAAAAAAAACAAAAAAAAAAGTTGGTTACCCTCTGGTAAACTGTCAAATTTCTATTGAAAATCACCCAGTCGAAATCGTGGATTTACCCATTGAAAATGGTGATTTTCCATAGTTTTTTGTATGTTTACCAGAGGGTATCCCCATAGGAAAACCCATTGAAATCCCTTTATTCCCATGACAAAAACCCAGTTCATCGCCAGTCCTGCCGCCATCGTAGCGGATGGCCAGGTTGAGGCTGATCTGGCGCGCAAGCGCGCCAAGCTTGCGCCAAGGAGCCCCCCGATCCGATAGGCAACGTTGGCTTATGGTTCAATATGGTTTAATACGGCAGATATGGTTTAATAAGGATGCTAATGGGACGATTATGCAAGAATAGTTGGTGAATATATAGTATAATGTGGGATTCACCCGCCATAAACCTACCATGACTGGGGATGGAATCCAAGCCATAAAAATAGTGATGACCGGGGATAGAAATCATCAACCTTGGGATTTGACCGGGAATTCTTCGATAGGTCTCCGCGATAGCGAATTTGGCTAACTGTTGGATTTCTGGATCTCTATGTATATATATATATATGTATATATATATAACATATAATATATGTATATAATATAATATATGTATATAATATAATATATGTATATAATATAATATATGTATATAATATAATATATGTATATAATATAATATATGTATACAATCTGTATATATATATACGTATGTATACATACAGACATACATACATACATTGGGTGAAGGGAAGCCCTTCAAGAATGTAAAGTGATTATTGTTTACCAGCAAGAATCTAAGGTTTGCAAACTCACAAAAATGGGGAGACAGGTTGTTATAGGAAATAATCGAGGTGAATAGTTGGTGATGGGGATGATTTTTAGTGGGTTGTGGACATGAAAATATGGGAAGCCCAACCGGTATGGCTTATCTGAGTCCCCAAAGATTTTCAAATGGTGAAAAATGTACAGTTGTGATTAAAAGATAGATATGCCGTGATCCCCAAACAAACGTGTTTGTTTTCAAAGATTCACCTCTCTGGGGATTCAACAGCCAGATGACCTTTGAGGTGACTTCTTAGCATCATCTTGGATCATTTTTCCATGGGAAAACTGGGGGAAAAACTAGGAAAACCTAGGAAAATGATGGGAAAAAACTAAGAAAATGATAGGTACCCTCTGGTAAACATACAAAAAACGATGGAAAGATCCACCATGCTATTAATGGGTAAATCCACGATTTCGACTGGGCCATGTTCAATAGCAAACTGTGACAGTTTACCGGAGGGTATCTGATTCTACCATTTTTAATGGGTAAATCCATCATTTTTAATGGGTAAATCCACTATTTCTATTCTTATCATCTTCCAAAGCATGTTTTGATGTTCCACACTGATTTCCTTGGCTTCATATGCAAGCGTTTGCGGTTTCAGAAATGGTGCAGCTGCCCCGATAGTTTGTTGCACGGTTTCAACCCATCCTGCCAAAACGCCAGTTGAGAACATCTTGACGTGACTTTGTCCATGGATTGATTTTTGGGAAAATGTAGAGAAACCCATGGGTTTTTTTTTCTAGCAACGTTTTTTCTGTGTTTCAGTGTGTCAGCTGTAAGTCTTCCCTTGCACCAATGGGTTTTTCGATGACTCCTCGAGCCTCGGCATGTTCGACCAAGGAGTGAAAGGTCCGGTCCTCCAGTAGGGCACCCTGCGTCCTGAAAGCGGGACTTTACCCATGAAAATGGGCAAAAATGGGAGCGAAATAGACAACAAAAAGACCAGAACAAGGAGGGTCATGGAGAAGTGATGTTTGCTCCCAAATCTTTATATGAGTAGCGGACAAAATTATATGTTAGATTTAATGCCATGCACAAATTAGGGTCGTCCCCTATCGGTTGTGAGGATGATTCGCCGAAATATATCACAAATGGGGTATCGGTATAAAGTCGTCCCATCGGTTACTCATATAATGAGGTATACATAATAGATATACTGTTTTTTAATGTTTTGAAATATGTTATGGTAAAATGCACGTAAAAATTGGCGCGTCACTGGGGATCATCATCCCAGTGGTTGATTCTACAGCCATCGGGTGATGGGATGACTATTGCCTAGTCATTCATACGGGAATGTCGGCACAGTAAATATCCTAGTTAGTTCGATCATCGATACAAGTGAGAGTATAGACAACATTAGACAACCCCCTAGGGCAATCGATAGTCTTAGACAACGTGTATAGACAACATTATCTTGTATTAGACAACAAGTATAGACAACATTAGACAACATTAGTGTATCAAGTGAGATAGTCTTAGATACACCGACAATCCTCTTTTCATATCTTTCCATGGCCAATCTTGTATAATCCCTTGCTGAAGCCTCCCGGTACACCAGGGATTGTTGTCACAAAGTTGTCTAGCTGGCTGTGAACCATCTAATGCCGCATCTATTTACTGTATTGTAGCCATTTACGAATTGAGAGACCAGAAAGCGGTGATATGCCAAAGATTGGCCATGACATCGGTAAGTGAAAAGAGCGAACCTTAAGATGCTATGTCTCCGGGCTTTCTTACTCTAGAAATACGAATAAAAACATGTAGAAACCGTGGCTTCATAAATCGATGTGCAGAAAATGGCTTCGCGGCATATGGGAATTGTTAATCCCTATGGCTCCACCTCAGCTCCCTTAACCTTCAAAGACCGACAGTATTTGGAGGGAATACCCTCTGGTAATTTAACATAGCTATTGAAAATGGCCATTTATAGTGAGTTTTCCCATTAAGAATGGTGATTTTCCATAGTTATGTTAGTTTACCAGAGGGTATATGACAGTGAAACCATGTGAAACCCTTTTTTCGCTATCTGATGGCAGAATTCCATGCAGAAGGATGATACTATGAGATACTGGACCTCCACTCTTCCCAGGCAAGGCCATTTCCAGGCCGGAGAAAATGTCAGTGATGACTTGCCAAACAACAATGGTTTTGTCAATGGGGGGAGACCAATGATGTCATTCATCTAGGGAAGATGAAAGTCTAAAGCACAGGTTCCGCTGTACCAAAGTTTGATACATCTCCATCCATCCAACTGTACCATCCATCTCGTGACGCAAAATTTGAGTTGATGTAGTGGAAAGCTGCACAGCAAAATTAAGTTGACCAGCATAAGAGCATCAATGACATCTGATACCTTGTTGAAAGATTGTTACCCGAGGGTAAACTAAGATAGCTGTGGAAAACTCATGGTTTTCTAGGAAAATGATCGACATTTATGGTGGGCGTTCCACATCTACGTGAGTTTACAGGAGGGTAGTTGTTTGGAGGCGCCCCGGAATTGTCAACCTTTGAACTTAAGGCCCACAGGCGTTCTTACACCATCAGGCTTTCTCGGGAAGATTTACAGTACACGAAACCATGCGCGTCTTTTGCCATAAAATATTATTAATAAGGGTTCCAGTACAATTTCCCTCAAACAAATTCTGGACGGTGGCACAACTACCGAGCCTTCATGGTAAGAAATCATGGATGGTGCTTCGATTCAAACACAAGATCTTTGGCAGCATGGCTTTGTCTCAAAATATGGGAAAAACCCAAAGTCCAATGGTAGACCAGATCATCATTTTCCCTCTTTCAAATACCAATAACTCGAGGGGAAAAAATCCCCACTTTCAGACAGAGCCATATATCAACCACAATGCTTTGTTATGATTTGATTATTTGATTGGCTAATATATTCCATAAATATATATATATATACCCCGTATATATATATATGTATATATATATACCCCATATATATATATATGTATATATATATATATCAAGGGTGTGTGTGTGTGTGTGATTCTTAATAGCTGACATTCCTCATTTTCAGTCACACCCACATCGCCAGCTGCCCAGCGCCCAGCTGAGCCAAGCTGCGCTGTACGAAACTCCAACTCTTCCACGAAGCACTCGGCTAACCTGGAAAAATATGGGAATAATATGGAAAAATCATGGGAAAATAGAATGTTATATGGAAAAAGTGAGAAAATAATCTATAAAGAAATATATATATATATATATCTTAATATATCTTACTTGGTTACTTCTTGGATCATCCCACAAATCGTAAGTGTTTTTTTGCCTAGGGATGATCCTCCAAGTTGGACGTCCATCCCGGTTTTAAAGCCATCACATAACTGTGGATATTCCATGAATCTAACTCGGGTGTAATCAATACGTTTATTATCGTTTATTAAGCTTATTACCCACTAAGTTCTTGATCCGAAGGATAAATAATGAAACGGCAGTAGATACCTTGATGTGTACCCAGTTGATAGGTGATAAGATAGGCCCAGGTGGACAAACCCCACCCCGTAAATGAAACTAGAAAATTTTGAAAAATCAATGGGACTGACAAATGCTGTCCATATATATACATGTAGGTGTATATATATATATGTATAGTTTGAGATTGTATTCAGGCCTGGTCATGGAAGAGTTCCATGAATGGGGCGGGGACACCAACCATTCCTCAACCACATATGAGAAGATGAGAAGGTGAGAAAATGCCCCTATTCCGTCCCATGATGCTGGTTATGGCCTTCTAGGCATCCGTACTATGGGTCGGAAATATCTATTATATATATATATTATATATATATATTATATATATATATTATATATATATATGTACAGTATCCACTCCAAATAAGTTCAACTACTTACTGAAGTACTTCATATTAATCCGCCAACAGTATGTTCATTTCATTGACGAAACTAGGGTAGAGCGAGTTGACGATGAAGCTCTGAGCGGGTCAAGTTGGCGCTTCATGTGCAAACAAGGACGAAACATGTTGGGATTGCTCCCAAATCATGGCTCGTCATGGTTTCCCAGGGAAAATGTTGGAAAATGTTGGGGAAAAACTTGGGAGTGACCTGGTGAATGTGGGTCGAAACTTTGCTTTTCGAAACTTGTCAACCCATAAACTGCTCTTTCCAGGGACCTTCAGCCGTCCATTTTGGGCAGCCTGCGATTGTGATCTATTTGGGTGTATCCGAAAACAACGTATACCCACAAAGAGCATAAAGTATGTCTGATCATAGTTTCCCCATTACAACACCGTCTGTAGGGCACCCCCGCTATTTTCTGGAAGAAAAACTGGTGCCAGAACTTGGAACGAAGACCACTAGTCAAAATGACCAATTTCAGCAGGCTATTGCAGTTCATACACCGTGGTTCGACATGGGATAGCAAATCTTATGGGTTTATGTTTATCACTCATATATTGGGACAACTGTGTCAAATTATATTTGCCAGTGGAGATTATATTAGCAATTTTTGAGTCATATTCTACTGAAATAGCAATAAATAACGCGTCTATCTTTTTGGTGGTTACTATAGGCTAACTTGAGTAACCATCAACTATAAGCAACAAATTTTAAGATGTAATCAATGCATGAGAATGATAATAACAAAAAAAATAACAATAGTAGTAATAACAATAGTAATAAGAACAATAGTAATAGTAAATGTCACCATATCATATCACCATAAAATGGCTCATGGCAACCCCGCGTTTCACCCCTGAACCAAGTCGCCGCCAATATGCCAGCGCATGCTTGGCGGCTGAAAAACCTTTCCTCGCTGACCAGACTAAATACACCTGGCAGCAACGGCAGGGGCCAGTTTGTTGGTCGGTGGTTCGCCCTAGATAGTTAAGTATAACTAGTTTTACGGTAACTAAAACTATGGTATGGTTTACATGTGTAATAGTGGTTAAGTTGGCTTTTACTAGTATACCTAGATTTATGGTAAGTAAGACTATCGTTAACGGTTTACATGTTTAATAGTGGTTAAGTTGGCTTTTACTAGTATGCCTAGATTTATGGTAAGTAAAACTATAGTTGTATAACGGTCTTATAAACAAACTTAAGAAACCGAGGGGTCTCACTTTAAGGGACAGGACAGCACAGGAATTTGGCAGAAAGGAATTTACATGAGTTTACCAACAAAAAATTGGAAAAAGGGCTATAAATGAAATGGCACCATTGGCATCAGGAGAACTATCAAGCAGGGCCCTCCCAGTTTTGTTTGCTGGTCGGGGGATCTTGGACGAAGATTTGGAGCACATGCGCTCCCGTTTCCAAATAAAAACGAGTTTTGGAAGGAATGGCTGGCGGCTGGGTCACATGTACACAAAAGAGATTTTGTCTACCAAATCCGGTCAATGTACACAGAGACACTTTGAACCAGTTAGGGTTTGTTGGGAGGAGTGACTTGCAAACAAAAGGATCGCCCACATCCAGACATCCAGGTCTTTGCTTCACCATGCACAGCCATGCCATGTGGCTGTGCATGAAAATGGGCTATGCCGGGTATGCCGGGTATGAACCAGTGGATTTAGGCTTCCACTGGTTCCACTGGTTCCCCATGACATTCAGCCATTCGCAACAGCATCAACCATGGGTGGCAACCCAATGCCATAAACCGGAGTCATTGGAGATCACACGGTGAGTCATCAAATCCCCGGGGACATTAGTGGTGGTAAATGACCACCCAAACAGGTCCAAACAACCAAAAAAACGATGTTGCACCGATGTTGCTGGCAATCTTGGGTTGGTGAAACTCCCAAAAAAAATGTTGGGCAAGCTGCAGGGGATTATTCCCGTTGATGGATTGATGACCACTGATCAGTGATGTCGACCAAGGCGAAAAGGGCCGATCAGTACAACTGAGAAATGTTTTTTGGAAATTTGGTTGACATGTGGTTATGGGTCAAAACCCGGTACTCTAGTAGACTCTAGATACCCTAAGTCATAGCTGGTTAATGGAGGCATTCCCCAAAAATATGGTAATTCAAACTGTGTTGACCCATCCACATCTTTTTTGCTTTTGCGCCTTTCAACGCCTTGGGGCTTGCCCAGGCGAATTGCGTCGCCGAAAATTGAAGTCATGAGGCATGGTCAAGTCATTTTTAAGTGTTATCATTCATCCGTTTACCAAGCAGCATTCGAAATTCTCTAGCAATATCAACCCCGGATAAATCAACTCTATCGCAACCAAGTTGACCTCCAATCTTAAAAATTATTGAAATTGCTACCTATCAAAAGTTGGCACGCTCACTTCTTTTTCGTAAGCCTCCAAACCCGTCAAAACTGTTTTATCCCATTTATATCTAGGAAACTAACCCGACTTAGTCACCAACCACTTACTAAACTTGTCGTGTGTTCCTCCACCCAAATGGTGGGACAACGGTGGACTAACCTATGGGAGACATCTATATGTTCATAATCTTTATCCAGTGTAACTATTGTTTGTCCATTATATCAGTTACAGTCTGTCTCTATACCCATTATAACAATCATACACCTCCATTCATCATATCTTCACGTCGTTGGACGTCCCATTATATTGCATCCAAATATATGTCCCCTGTTTTACCATCTATTGTTGGTTCTGCTCTTTTTTCATAATTAATCCCATTGACCACTGGATAGTAAAGATACTTTATCAAAAAAAAATAGTCTTAGTTGCTGATTATATATATATACACAATATCCCCCGTTTTCTATCCCAAAATGTGTCATTCTTCACCAGCAACACCGAACCATAGGAGAGATTTGTGGGTTTCGTCACATGGGTCCACATGATTCATATCATTACCCCAATTATCATGGGAAAACGGGGGGAAACTAGGAAAATTATGACTATTTTCATTTATCTCCTCGTGATATGAATAGATATTCGGAAATGGAAAACCAATATTGGATCTTTATAATATTTCCTCATGGATATTTCCTCATCCCAATCTTTCCGACAACCAAGCAGTACTTATTCATTACGCTTTATCCATTATAAGTATAGAGTGTTAAACCTTGGCCTGTATCCTGCCCAAAAAAACATCTTCAAGACCTGTGAAAAAGTTTCTTTCAAATATCAAACAAACAAACATCTGATCTCCATATGAATCAGTTATATCCCCATGAAATCCCCATGAAATCCATCAGATGGTCCCAAAATCCGCCGGCGGATTTCGCCTTCAGGTCCTCCATGGCTTTTTGCCTCGGCCGCGTTGGAGAAATGCCGCGTTTCACGAAGGCCTCGGGCTCGAAGAAGTCCAGCCGCATCACCTGGAAACTTACGTGGACTTCGGGGTTAAATATGGTAAATTTGGAATGGCTAAATATGGTAAATATTAGGTTAAATATGGTTAAATATGGTAAATTCCAAATCATGGAGTTTGTTAAGTCATGGTGAAATATGTGAAAAATGTCCAGTTTTATGGATGGAAAGTCCTCACGTTGATTGGAAACCTTTTTCGTGGTCAAAACTCCCCGTTTCTTTCGATGGAATCCCTCATATTTCTTGCAGGCAAGAATTCCAGTGGTTTTTTTTCGGCTTAAGTATCACATCCTCATGATCAAATCCGACATCTCTTTTAGAGGTTCTACTATGTTTTTGTTGGTGACAATGCCCATACCCGGTACTTTAACATTGCTATGGAAGGTCACAACTTTGAATCGGTAAAATCGTCCAACTAGCCTCTGGTAATTTAACATAGCTATTGAAAATGGCATATTTATAATAGTTGATTTACCGAACTTAAAGATGGTGATTTTCCAGTTCGCAAACTGTTAGTTGACCAGAGGGTCTATGGGCAAGTGTCCATAGCTAAGAAATTACCAGACCATTCGAGCCAAGCCTGGCAACACAGCAGCTCAATTCCTGGGTGCTGGTCAGTGCTGGTCATATCGGGGGCCCAAGATGGCCCAAGTTCAACAGGTGGTAAACACAACAAAACTAACTTGTTTGGATTCTATGTATGGTGGATAATATGGAACTATCGACTGTAGTTTGTTGTTTTTTTTAAGAACAACAAACTTAACTACGGGGCCCTGTATGGCTTATGGCTCGAAGGATAGCATCGATTCGCCATGAGATCTAGCTGCTTCTTGAACAACTGGAGATCCTCAATAAAAAAGCAAATGTGGGAACACCATTCAAATTGTTTCGAACTTCAACTACTCTAAATTTTACATGATATATGTATATTATATATATATATGTAAGTACAAAAAAAGTGTGTGTGTGTGTGTGTGTGTGCTTAGTAGATTCTACTGACTCTGAATGAGTCCACCTCTTCAAAATGTCAGTGGCGTTTGGAGGGGAAACCCCCAATGTCTGAACTTCAGCCCCTCGATTCTGCTACAACTGTCGTATGCATATCCACTATGGTCTATAAGGGTATGGCAACTTATGTTGGTGTTTACCGCTCCCAACACACAAAATGTGTCGTTTTTGGTCTGACACTGGTGCAATTGTTCGGAAAATGTATGGAAAATCAGAACTGAGAGCCAAATCCAAACCAACAAATGGTTCCTCTTTGCGGGTCATATACACCAGTTTCATTCATTTTCCAAGAGATATCCCCCTTGAACCCACGTCGGGGGGTTTCGCTTCGAAGCGTCGGCTTTCGACGCTTTCCCGCGACAAGTCCCGCAGCACACGCTGCAGCTCACTCTGCCGCTGGGCGCAAAAGTGTCGGAGACAGGCGCCCAAGCCTTTTCGAAGCACGGGAAGGGGCACCCTTTTAGAAGGGGGTTGAACAAGAAAAAAAAGGAATATTTACCAGGGAAAACCAGGATTTCAACAAAAGCACTTGGGATCTATATGTGATTTATGAATATTCACGATTGGTAAGTTCGGTTCCAATGCAAGTAGGCTTTATGGTTGAGGTATCTGTACTTCGATATGGTTGTTTCAACCGACTTAGAGCTGGGGCGGCACACCTTCCCATATATCTACCCGTGATCTCGTGGGGGCTCATCTTAGATACCAAATGGAGCAATATCAACTTCCATATGTGCCACGGTCAAAAGATGGATTGTAGAACAATATCGGGGGATTGTTCGGAAAAATCCATCAACAGTGACTAAGGAAATGCCACTTTTTTTCGGCTTCCCACAGCTGTGGGATGCATGAGCCTGGCCAACCATTAAAATCCAGTAACTAGTTCCATGTAACTTGACCCAGTAACATTCCCAGGACATGCGAAGTTTCACGACCATGGAGGATGCACAAACCGATTGGTGTAGTCAGGTAAGACTAACAAGAAAAGTCGCTGTAGCCTCAGGGCAAGTATCAGCACCTCATCAATTTCCGAAGAGTATATGCGTGACAATCATATGTGTATATTATATATATATATATTATATTTTATATATATATATATCATATATATTATATATATATTATATTATATATATATATTCAAGATTATACAAGTACCTTGAAATTAATCCGGATCTTCCAAAATCTGAGAAAATTAGAACAGCATCATTAACAAACAGATTCTGCATCAACGGTGAAGAAAGTACATGGCCAATCCTAGATACTTTCCCAAAAACAACTCGTTTGTATATATCCTCCGGTAATCCTGGCAATGGAAAATCCTATATTTATAGGATAGATTTTCCCATCGTGTCCCTTGCAAAAAACCTCTGTTTCCAAGGGGGATTTCCGGCCACTGGCCGCCGTTATGTCCAAACACTTTTTGGATTTTTGTGCTCAGATGGAACCTGCCAAATTATCCCAGAAACCAGAATTCCCAGAAGAAACAGAATTCCAATATAGCTAAAACCTAAACCTCCATTCAAAGTAGCTTAAAACCCCTGTTGATGTTCATCCCATGGCCCATCTTAAATCTAATGTTGGAATTCCCAATCTTCCATTTTTTCGATCTAGCTCAAAACATGTAGCTGGCTCAATTTCATCAGGGGTATGTTTTGACAGTCACCTTGGGCTTTTTCAGAGGTACCATATCTAGTACTAAAGTAATCAGTGGGGATTGAACCTGGCAATTTAATGCAATTTAACAGATTGGGAAGTTTCTGCGAGCTCGCTCAACTGCAACGAGCTGGCTCAGCACCATCGAGCTCGCTCAATGCCACGTAGCTGGCTCAGGGGCATCGAGCTAGCTCAATGGCATCGAGCTGGCTCAATTTTTTTAGCGAAAAAAAAAAAAACCTCGCAGAAATTGAGCCAGCTACGTCACGTTGAGCTGGCGGACGAATGTGAGAGCATCAAAACGAATACTAGCTATGTATTGGCCGGGTTCATGACGCATTGGCGAGCCGGCTCAAGGGCATGTAGCCGGCTCAATTTCTGCGAGGTTTTTTTTTTCTTTTTTTTTTTCGCTAAAAAAATTGAGCCAGCTACGTGGCGCTGAGCCAGCTACGAGGCGCTGAGCCAGCTACGTGGCATTGAGCCAGCTACGTGGCACTGAGCCAGCTACGTGGCACTGAGCCAGCAAGGTAGCTTTGAGCTTTGAGCTAGCAAGGAGGCAGTGAGCCAGCAAGGTAGCTTTGAGCTCATCATCATATATATATATACACCTATGCAATCCCAACCATGTAATATACTAGATCTAGGGAAAAGCAATTTTTTTGAGGGAGACACGTACCTTTGAGCTGGAGCGGGAATGTGAAATCTAACATTGTATTAAAAGAAGGTTTTTTTTAAAAAAAAATATGAAACCTCCATTCCTGGTAACAGTGGTAACATACTCAAGTTCACCTCCCATCTGCAGTTGCTGCAGTTGTGTCCACGGCACTTTTTTCTTCGCCAGGTTTTTCCAACTCCAGGCCTCAGCAAATGTGGCTGGGAAATCCCCGAACTACATGGAGCTTCCCAGGTGTTTTGTTGCTATCAAAACTGGCCAAACCTTACGTGGTTTTTAGATTAGGTGCTTTTGAAGATCCGGAAACCATTCAAAAAGTTGTAAAAGCTTCGAACTTCAACTACTCGATATATAGAGTGTGTATACCCTCTGAGAATCACAAGTGGCCAGCTGGGATTTTTTCTATAAATCCATGTTTCTAGCTGGGAAAATCATCGAACATCAACAGGAGTGCTTTTTTGAGTTTCCAGCACGCCACGTTATTTTTTACCGGAGGGTATGAAAACTTGAGATTCACTTATAGAAAACCGAAACATGAATTTCACATCCTTCCATTGGGCTCAATTTCGCATCCTGTGGCGTGGATTTCTTCAGAATTTCGCTATAGGATGTGTTTAAACCAACAGGCGAATTCAAGACGTGATTTATGATGGCCCAATGGGCCCAATGGCAACAGGATCATTGGGAAAACGAACATTAAAACCACGAAATTTCGGAAGTGATGCAACCAACGGTACCATTTTTTGGGGAATGCGGTACCAAAAAATCATTAGGTACCCTAATTAGGGGAAAAAAATGCATTGAACCAATCTACGGTGGAAAATGCAGTGCAGTAATCTGAGCCCAAAGCTATATGTGGATTTGAGGATACGTATATATCACCAACTAGTGTTGACAAGTTGACCTGTGTCGGGTATCAACAAACATGATTTGGGGACTCACCCGCCAAAAAAACATTAGGCGCTGTCATGGTTGATGAGCCCCAGCCTTAAAGTATGTGGGAAGGACTAAGCGCAGGGCGTTGGAACATAATATGGGGAGGTTCTCAAAATGAGGGAGCCACAAATCATCCAAAAATTGTCACTTGCAATGGGGAACCAATGATTTGTACCCCAATTGTTGGGGAACACAAATATGGGGATGGGTCAAACCCTATTGTTACCATATTTGGAGAATTACTTAACATCCATTAACCAGCTATTTTAGGGTAACCCAAAACCATATGTCTATTCTCTTGAAGAGTTCCATTTCGGAGTTCCATGTTGGACTTCAGGCTGCCAAGAAACGATGGCAGCAGAGCCGACACAGGGCGGTGGTAAATTTTGCGTAGGTCGCGCGTAGGACTGGAAGAGACAACAAGGCAGGACCTGCCCGTGGCACTGAGGCAGCAAAATGTGTTGATCTTCCTGGCTCCAAAATCCTACCCTCTGGTAATTTAACAGTTTGCTATTGAACATTGCCATTTGTAGTGGATGTACCCATTGAAAATGGTGATTTTCCGTAGTTTTTTGTATGTTTACCAGAGGGTAATCCCATCCCCCCAATTTATGATTGACCACCGTCCTATTGTAATGGTCCCCGCCGTATGTGATTTCATCAGTATTGAACCATGGCTGGTTATCTTCTGTTATTCCCATGATATCCCACTATCCCATTTGATCCTACTTTTGAATCTCCCATTATTATGTGCAAATAATTATATATATATATATGTACATTCCCATAGATATTCTCATGATATTACAAGTATACAACATACCATGAAAAAACCGTTAAAGTCTCATTAGAACCCTCCAAAACCCCATCAAAACCCATTGAATCTCATACGTTGTCCAATGGTTAAACCTCCACTAAAGTCCATTATATCCCCATCAAAAATGGATTGGAGTTATATTCCCATTAGATTCACAAGTTGTCCATTAAATAAGCATGAAATCTCATCAAAAAAACCCATTCAAACCCCAAAAAAATCTCATTAGGGCCCCATTTTCCCAAGTTTTCCCAAGTTTTCCTCCACTTCCACTGGATCTTCGCCCTAAAAACCCACAGGGTTTTTCTGCCACTGGATCAAAGCGCCTCCATCGTGGATCAAGTCGCCCAGGCGCTGTCGCATGTCGGCCAAGGCTTCAGGCGCTGGCACCTCAATTTCTAACAGTTTGCGACATAGAAAATGGCTATAGAAATAGTGGATTTACCCATTAAAAATGGTGATTTTCCATAGTTATGTTAGTTTCCCGGAGGGTATCTTAGTATTAAAACCCCATTTGGAAGTGGGATCGCTGGGTCTCATTTGGAAGATGGGTATCTTAATGTATCCAAATGGGGTGAAACATACTAAGATACCCATTAAAACCCCATCTGTAGGAAGTGTCCCAAGATGGGTACCCGCAAATCATCCAAGTCATTAGACCATTAGATCATTAGACCATTTTAGTATGAAAATGCCTATGGTGACGACTGGGGATTCTGCAGATTCCCCATTGAAAACCTCCAACGATTATATTTTACCATCGCGATGAAAAACTCCATCAGTTGGGATATACCCCCTATAACCAGGGCTATATCCACTTACCCTCTGGTCATTTGTTAGAGTTTGCGACATAGAAAATGGCCCAGCCGAAATAGTTGATTTACCCATGAGAAATGGTGATGTTTCATAGCTGTCACTGGATTGGTCTAAGGGCAAAATTAGAGGAAAACCCTTTTTTTGAGGGGAAATCCATGGTCTCCGGCTCAGATTTTCCCTTAAACCAATTCAATGATCATGGGCATATTTCAGAATGTTCCCCCTATATCTAATATTAACGGATGATTGTTTCATATCTTTAGGGGAGTTCACAGTGATTAATATTAAGGGGACAATTAGGGGGTTAATCAATGTTGATCAGGGAAATAGACTATGGGAATGTATATATATATATACATATATTACCCCTATCATAAATATATCATAGAAATAAGCCCTATAATTTTAATTAGGGGAGGTAGAAATAGTTCTACAATTCTCTCTTTGGAACAATTTGTAAATTCCCATGATTTCTGGGAAGGATATTTTTGGGACATGAGAATATCATGGCAATTTAGGTTACCCCTATATATCTACATATATATACATGTGTGTGTGTGTAAAAAATGGGACAATTCATCAATCTATAAATGGATGACTACATAGACATATGCATACATATACATAGACATACATGTATATATATATACATTGTGTATGTGTAATTTTAGGTGCTTGTTTTGTGGGATAAGATATTTATAGATAGCTCATTGTCCATATTATCTGACTTGATTTACGATATAGTAAGCAAAAAAAACATTTTTTGGGGAATGGTCATCCGTAAAGAAAGGAAATACTGGCTGAAAATCCATGGTGCCGATTTTGCTGTGCCTCCAAAAAAGAAAAAAAATGATAGAAATGTAATGGTTCACTATTTTGGTAGGATTTGTTTTGGGGGGATGTTACGTATTATGAACTCAGTGTTGTCAACGAGCCATTTCTTGGAATGGAAACGACAAGAAAGTCGAAAGAACAACAGAAAGAGAGCTGGAAAGGGAAAGGATGCCTTCAATATCCTTCGATGTTTCAACTGGAAGGCTGATAGAAGTTGAAGAAGACGGCGTACTCCTTTTGCTCCAAAATGCCAGAGAATAGTAGTATATAAAACGGATCTCCAATTGCTCCGCATGTTAATGAAACCTGGTCTATTATGGCCTGAAAGGGACAACGGGACATCTGCGAGTGAACTGGAGAAGAACCAGGCAAACGTGTTCAACAGGGTGTTTTTGGGGTCTCAGGAAGTACCAGGCTGGTGGATGTTGGCTGGTCCAATGCCCAATTTTTCGGCTGGATGCTGATAATTCACCAACCTGACATGCGCTGTAAAATTGAGGTGATCTTCGTTACGAACCATGATTTTTCTATTCATTTGTGGTGGCAGTCGGGGCATTTGGGTTCATACAAAAAGATGAAAGATCTATCCAAAGTACTGACAAAAGAACCAGAAGTTCCAGCCAACACCATTCAAGTTGGGTATGTCGCGGCCAGGTTGTGGCGATTCATACCATTGAAAAAGTCGCTTGTACCCTCCTGGAATCAAACATGGCAATGAACAATCCCCCATAAATGAAGGTTTTATTCGGAAAACATGCGCGAAAACTAAAAAAATAAATGGGGAATTGTCCACTGCCATGTTTGATTGCTGGAGGGTAAATTCATGTTCATTTCCCAAAAAATCTTACTGTATAGATATTGTCCCATCCCCAAAATCCTCGAACATCAAAATGGCTTTGTCTGCAAAATGGCCCCCCCGAACATCATCTTGTTGCATTGTATGTGTGTCTTATCTCTATATATATATATATCATGATATCCCATATAATCCGACAATGGTTGAACAACTCCATTATATACATATATCATATATATATACCATTCTCATTATATTCCCATTCTGGTGGGTGAATATCCAGATGTATTCTGAACATCTGCATGTTCCCGGCCTGTTGTCCCTGGCGGGTCCGAGTGCAAAGCTCCTCGCTTCCGTTTTTGGACCAGCGTCAATGTCACGTGTCCACCCATGTCCACCAAACATCAAGAGATGCGTCCACCAAAAACAGAACACGTGCAGGTACAGGAAGCCCATTAGTTAGTTTAGAATCCGTCTAAGCATAGATAATCCAGCAGTTCACCGAGTAAAATTTACAGCAGAAGCCACAAACTTGGGAGTAGAGGGGCCTGCACTTACATAGATCAATGAGAGTACACAATGTCAACTACCCTCTGGTTATGACTAACATAGCTATTGAAAATCACCATTTTTAATGGGAAAATCCACTATAAATCAGCATTTTCAATAGCTATTTTGACATAACCAGAGGGTACAACACTTGTGTATCAACGATGCTTGCTGCAAGTATTTCTGTCGTCAATCCGCCCATGAAGTCCAACATGGGATCTTAAAATGATGGCTCAATCAACACCATCTGCCCTTCTGTGTCATCAAACAAGACGGCTTCCTGGGAAATCTCCGAAGTGAATGAAGGTTAAAAAAGCTGGAAAAATCATTGAACTATGGGGAAACGAATGATGCCAGGCTTGAATGATACCATACCGGGTATATCTAAATGAAGAATGGCATGAAACCATTTTATTATTTGGGAAGAATGGGATTATTTGAGATTTCCAACATTTTTTGAAACAGCTGATGCAAAAAATGATGATCCCCATTGGAAGTGCTGACGTGGCATCGGATCTCTGACAAATTCTGACTCAGGCATGGCATTAATAATGATTCCCAATTGGAGACTTCACCCACCAGTCAATTCAAATATGTTTTTTTCTATCAGCTGATGATACCCCCATGACTTTCAGTCTCCCCCCATTTCTGAAGAAGCCATAAAATTGCCAGGTTTCATCTGAGAAAATATCCAATTTCCGGGATTGATGAAGAAACCCAGAGTTGTTCTCAGTGGAATCCGCATTGATGGAAAACGAAACGATATTCCATTTCATTGCTTAAACCAGCCAGGCATTTCAATGTGAAGCACATTCACCTTATTCCCCACATTGACAACATTCACCATGATATTCACTAGCATGTTCTTCCAATATCAAACGCCTTGTTACAACCAGGGCCGATCGGGGCCTGAAAATGTGGCACTCCAAAGTCTTTCCATGGTCTTTACGGATCTCGGTACGGTAATCAGTTTACCATCACTTTCACCATCACATTCACCATTCAGATTGTCATTTGTCATAAAAATGCTCCCAAGTTTATCAAACCAGTCCCGCATAGTCCCGCTATGCCATCCCACTGGACCACCATACTACCTGCATTCCTCGCCAAAAATCTGGAAACCTCTGGGGAAATCTGGTTCCAAACATCTTTTGAAATGCCAAACAGATCCGAATTTGTTAAACTGCCGAAACATCTGGACTCGGAAAAAAAAATAACGGTAGAACGGTATACCCATAATGTGGCAATTGAAAAAAATGATGAACCAGTGGAAAAAATGGGGGTCCTGTAGCAGAGCTGAGGACCTTGGGCCCAAGAGCAGCTCCTGTAGCACAGCTTGGATGGGTATACCAATATATAATCATGTGTGTATATATATACATCTGATTTTATATGATTTTATATGATATACAGAGAAAAAAAATGGTGAGAATATGTCAAGTTCTTACAGCCGATCACCTAAGAATCATCAAATACTCTGCAAATGTTCTCTGAAACTCATGAAGATGGAAGAAAAATCGCGGTGCCAATGAAGTTACGCGACCAGCACCAGAAATTGCCGTTGTTTAGACATTGTCAGTGAGACCCAGACCCCTTTTCTGGGAGATTCAAGTTGCTTTCCTGTGTCTGAAAGAAACCATTTCGGGGATTTTCAAGTTGCTTTCATGTGCCCTAATCAAATTTAAAGAATCGGAATTTGGTGATCGAAACAACGAATAATGTGGAGTAGCTGGCAAACAAGTTGCAGATTCAGTTCAACCATGGGAATTGAATCGCGCTTTTCGCCATATAGCTATATCTGAAAATGGAGTCTACCCCCCAATTTATGGCTAGTTTGATGGCAAAAATGATGATAACCATGGAAATTGTGCCATGAGTTTCCCAGCGGCTGAGGTGAAAAGTTTCCAAATTTAGACCTCAGCATCCATGTTTCAGGATGATACATTCTTCTCGGATTGCGGCTCATGTTTCTTCCTGCAAAGAAAACATGTTGGTGACCCATGTTGTGGGGGTTCAACAAAGCCCCAAAGGTGAACTCCCAAGAACAGAAGTGGTTGATGGATGTTGATGGTTCAAATTTTAAATTTACAGGATTGTTTTACAAATAGGAACTGGCTAATAGATAAACTTGACTCTGGCAAGTCTCCATTTCGTGGCTTTAGCCCATGAATCACTGGGGAAACCAACCCCATCAACTGGTGTCGTGATCTTCCTGGTCCACTTTTCATCAACCCTTCTTGACGAAATCCGCATTGGGCTGCTGAAAATCTTATGGGAAAAGCAACATTCCAATGGAAACTTCTCATTTTCAAAATATGAAAATCCCCAAGGATCATCCGGTTGGTTATATCATGTTACATCTCTCATCTCCCATGAAATATCCCCATAGTATCCCTAATATTTTTCTCAGTATATCCCATGAAATATCCAATTTATATAATCCCACTTACTAGAGTACTCAGTAGTCGAAGCTGGAACATTCCAGCTTACCATGACTCAAATGACCTTTCGCTATGAAAACACCATGTTTCATGCAATTTTCATGGCGATGTCATGGGATTTCGCCCTCCTGCATCAAATCGAACCATCTCCAGGCTGCGATGGCAATGGCCACATCTAAATCTGCGCACAAAAAAAAGGCATGGGAAGATCATTGGAAGATAGGATCTACTTGTGAAAAAATAGGGGACTACATGTATGTATGTATATATATATACATACTTAATCACCACAAAAGTAGGATGATTCTGTGATTTATGAAATGTATAGCCATCTTTTTCCATAGAATATGGAAAGTCCTATCCAAAATTTAGAGAATTTAAATCATCCCTATTCCATTGGAATATATTGCCCATGGATATAAGGTGAGGACACCGGTCACCTGATATTGGTTTATAAAGCCCATGACCTGAGCCATAGTTAACCAAGTTGAAAGTGAACTTAGCTATCTAGGGTGCCTCACTGTGTGTATATCTATGTATATATATATTTATTTATTTATTTATCTACTTATTTATTTATTTATGTATTTATTTATTTGTGTATTTATTGATTTATTTATTTATATTAACAAAGTTTCCAGTGGAATATTTTATGATACCAACCAAAAAAATATGGGGTCCCCTATTTTGTTGCAATGCGACATGCCAGCTTTAGATTAAAAAAAAAAAAACTGTTTTGTTCAGTACCCCATGAAAACTAAAACCATCTAGAATCTAAAACCCAGGAAAATAGGGAGATGTCGGGGCAAAAAAGAACTGCTTTCTTCAAAGGGTTGGATCGGAGAATCTACACTTAGCACCAACAAGAAACAAAATGGGGAATCGATACAAACAAAGAACCAAGAATTTTAAGGACAAGGATCAGAAGATTGAGATGTCTACAAATGAAACTGATTGAGTAAAACAACCAACCCAGCCCAAAAATGCAAAAGCGCCTGGGATTGACAGTTCAGGTCAGTATGGGGTTGAAAAGTAAACACGGCTAAAGCTGCAATTGATATCACTTGTTGAGGTCTTCGGGCGGACTTCTGCTTTGGAAACTATGCTTCGGATGAGGTGAGTCCAATGGTCATCTCATCCTGCCAGGTCTTAATATCTCAAGCACTGTCTTGGGATGTTCCCATACCCTCTGGTAATTTAACATAGCTATTGAAAATGGCCAAAGAAATAGTGAATTGTCCCATTAAAAATGGTGATTTTCCATAGTTTTTTGTGTGTTTACCAGAGGGTAATTGGGAGGCAATTACCAAGATCAAACCATCTGGCTGGAAAGTCTCATTGAACGGGGCCCGCCCCAGCAAACTCGGCCACCATCGGCCAGAATGAATATCATTTACCCTCTGGTTATGACTAACATAGCCATGGTATAGATGGCCCATTTATAGATGGTTTACCTGGGTTTACCTATTAAAACTTGTGTTTTTCCATGGCAAACTGTTATATAGTCATAACCAGATGGTAGCTTTCTCTGAAAATGGGGTATCCCATCCCGGCCATAAAAATGGATAAGAAAATGCGTGAAATCCCCCATCAAATCCCTATGAAATCACCATAAAAACACAAAAAAAAAACAGAAAGGAGCCAGAATATGAACACCCCTATCCCATCTCATGAAATACAAGTTGGTTGATGGTTTTCCCATTCATGTGGGCTAGTTCTTAACCCCCATTATAATCCGTAAGTTATGAGATGACTAACCCTGGTTTAATAACCCATGAGTATCCATTAAAATATGGCTAACTGGAATAAGTTTAGAGTCTTCCGTGGTTGTACTAACCGCTAACCCATCAACAGGGCTATAACTTTCATGGCTCAGTGCCGTGCCTCCAATGCCGCCGGAGCCAGCCTTGCTACCCTCCCAAGGAGTCCAGGGGACTACCTGCGGCTGCTGTTCTACAGAAAAAAGAGTTGATTTTTTTTTTATGTTGGTACCATCTTTGATGTTGGCACAGCAAAAAAAATCAATTCTGGTATCCCCCAACATCATCCAACATCAAAGATTTTGTGATGTTTTATATGATGATACCATAAAATTCTGTTTGCTGTGCCAACGTTTCAAAAACACAAAGAAAATGTGAGGCGCAAAACCCACAAGCCGCGACACTTGGAACCGCCATGATTTTAATCGATCCAATAGCATTTTCATATATTTTGAGATGATATCCGATGGCCGATGGGGAAGAAAATGAATGGTTTACAACTGGTGCTGAAACTTTGACCCGGAACGAAAAAAAAATGGATCGTTTCGCCACCGAAACCTGGCATCTAAGGGCTGCAAAAACCAGACTTTTCTCCAGGTCCTTTCGGAAAGGCTCTTGAAAACAAACATGGCCAATCTTAGACACCCTACAAAAACACAATAGTTGATTGGTAAATACCATCATGTATAGTGCAAAAAATACCAGCACTTACTGTATCCAGTCTGTTTCCCATAGGAAAAGGAGTGACTTATGGAATGATTCTGGCATGCCCTCATGGATCCGGAAGTTGGGGTGCAGTTCCACTAATTTTTGTAGCCCCATATCGCTCATGGAGCTTAGAATCCCCGCGGCCCCATTAATGCCGTGTTTTCTTTTTTTCGGCGGGATGTGCTATATATACTATTCTATTGTATTTTATTCTATTGTATTAAATTGTATTATGTTATATTATATTACATGTTGTTATATTATGTTATATTATGTTATATTACTTACATTATGTTACATTATATTGCATTATATTACATTATATTACATTATATTACATTATATTATATCACATTACATTATGCTATAGTATATTATATATGTAAATATATAATATGTGTGTATGAGTACAGTATATATATATGTGTATGTGTATGTATGTATGAATGTATGTATGTATGTATGAATGTATGTATGTATGTGTTCAACGAAATATTGTATGGCTCTACCAGCCGGCCCATCCCCGAGGCTCCAGACATAGGAGGCTGCGGGGGAGGGATGCAAAAGCAAGGCCTCCTTCAAACACCTGGGAACAGGTGAACTCGACGGTGACCCATCGGACCTTTGGGCCACGGTGATATCATGTTCACCCAAGTTCACCCCAGAAAGTCCCAGCTTTTCAACTTGCTTGTCTTTTTGGGGCTGCTTTAACCTGTAGGTTTTAATCCATGAAAATGAACATAGGGAATTATCATCTAAAATTAACCCAACCTTCCCAACAGCAGTGTTTCAGCCAAGGTTCCAGAATTCCGTTCCAGGTTTTGACTCTGCAAGGGAAACGTGGGGAAATCGTTGGTGACTTTCGACCGACCGGGGATGTGTCAAGTCATTGGGGTCGGACACTGTGTAGAACGCGTTGCTCTTTGGGTCACTTCGGATCAGTTCCGATTGGCATCCCAGCTGTGTATATGCTACACGATGTGTATATGTATATACTTTTTCATGTATGTATATATATATGCAAATATTTATGTGTATATATATATGTGTGTCTATAGATATATGTATATGTATATATACATATGTATGTATGTATATATATAGATATGTATGTATATTTACATGGGGGAAGAAAAAAAAGAGTACTACTTGAAGAAGTATATGTATGCTTACTTTTTCATGTATTTGTTTGAAACCACCAACCAGAATCTGGTTTACCCCATTCCATCCAGCGAAAATCCCAGCATGATTCGCGTCAACGGTTGACAGCCCCTTCCTATCGGAAAACGCTACGCTACTGTTGATCAGTAGGCCTATGGTTGTATGGGATTTCTGGAAGTTATATAATTCAGTATTGGAGGGTATAACATTCTAAGAGATATCACCACAATACAACAGATTTTTCCCATCTGGAAAATTTCGGATCAGTAGGGCTAATGGATGCTAAAAAACTGGAAAGTTACTGGATTCTAAACCCTGGGTATCTGGATATATCAGTCGTTTTTCATAAAACCTTGGTATAAATCTGGATAGCTATCTGGTTTAGAAAACATCACAACGGGCCTTCTAAACCCCGTGCGGTGACCAACTTCACCGAGATGCAAGGTGCGAAACTCATGCGGCAGGGCGGACCATCGCTCCTCAGAGGGCGGCCGCACTGGAAAGCAGGATGGCGGAGAATGGTGTAGCCACCAAATGGGGAAAATCTATGGAAAATACCATAGTAATGGTGTACCATAGAAAATAACATGGAAAATCTATGGTATAACAACCCATACCCTCTGGTAAACTAACATAACTATGGAAAATCACCATTTTTAATGGGAAAATCTATAAATAGCCATTTTCAATAGCAAACTGTTAGTTTACCAGAGGGTAAGATTTGGGGCATCCGACATTCAGAGAAACCAGATGTGAATCAAGAAGCAGAGATAATGAGCAGATGATGATTAAAACTCGTGACTATTCATCTTGATATGGCGCTTGGGTTGCACTTTGTAAACCTCAACAAAGGCAGCAACGGAGACGAAACCAGCCTGTTGGACAAAAACAATATACTTAAGTTTGAATTCCCAATTTCTATTTTCCAACACTGAATTCCTCACATTTTTGCTCCACATCCCTCAATGGCGAAGTGGGTCACATGGATTCTTTTTCCAGGGAATACGTTGACTGGAAACCATGGATTTTACTCTGAAACATAGGGCTTTCATGAAAACTGTCCCATCCAATTCTGCAATCCCATAATGTTGGGAATGGAACTGTTTCACATATGAAAATATTCCACTGGATGATGAATTGAAACGTACCTTTATAGATAATATCATATATCATAAGTTACTTTAATTGGTGTAATATCCCTCTTCACATACAGTACAGCTTTGTTGCTTCAAATTGCTGTCTTTGGTGGAAAATATCTGCATTGCTGCTGCTCAAATTACCTGCCAACAAATGGCCTGTCATTTTCAACCCCATATGTTTATATCTTACATACCCTTGTATTGCTTAAACTGACCATATTGTCTTTTTACATTTAGAGAATTAATATCCATATTTGCATTAGTCTATTTCTATCTATTTCTTGGTTTTCAGGTATGTTTTCCCCTAACTGTTCATACCTGTTCATACCATATATGTTCACGAAATGAATTTGTCGGCAAATATAGAACCCCAAATTCCAGTGATTTATCATCATGTTCCCTATCAAAATTGCCATTTGGCAGGCCCCAGTTTCAGACGAACCCAAATACTCGCTGGAAAATATCTCACTTAAATCCCCATGAAAAATCCCATTAAATCCCGATGATTGATGGTGAAATCACCATCAATAATCGGGATTTAATGGGATTTTTCATGGGATAAAATCACCTTTCAATCTCACTAAAATCCAATAAGGATAATTAAATCTATCCGTCAAATCCCATTAAATCCCATTAAATCCCATTAAATCCCATCAAACCAATCGGGATAAGATCCCATTAAAATCTCCATCATGTTCGGATAAAACCTATCCGTTTCCACTCAAGTCTCCGCTGGAACCACCGTGGTCAGCTCGCCGGTCATGGGAAGTGGAGAACATGGCTGGGGATCTGCAATGACGAATGACAATGATGGGTATACCCCAATAGCTGGATGGTTTTTGTTGATGTTAGTAATGTTAGTAATGTTAGATAATGTTCCAAAAAATGTTAGTAATGTTAGATAATGGGTCAAGTAACTGGGATGCCAGTTACATCAAATGGGTATGGGTCAAGTAACTGGGGAACCCTAAAATAGCTGGGATTTATGGATGTTCATCCCATTAAAAATGGGATTAATAGGTATTGATCGATACCCAAATGGCTTAATGATTACATGGCTTGATGCTGAAGAGTTCTGAAGCAACGTGAAGCAAAAAAAAACTTTTGGGGTTTTAGCTGTTTTAGTTTTAGTAGAATCAACTGCTGATTCAAGCATTTGGACAAGAATCGGGACTTCTGTTCAACCAAAGCATGGGGGTACGGAAATTCAAAGCCAATCAATCAGTGCATTGCGGGGATGATCTGCATTTGATCCAATCAATGAATGGTTCTGGTGGCTAAACCGATTCTATAAAAAGGTGGTGAGTCAATGTGTTTTCATCCTCTCCACAATTAGGAACATCGATAAAATCTGAAACTAGCACGCAAATGATAGTTCTGTAACTGACAGGTATATTTCACCCACCCACAGTTTGTAGTGTGTGCTCCAAAAATGTAGTGTTTGTTTTTCGTGAGAATTATCGAAAAAGGGCTCTCAATATCCTCGCAAGTGGGAGCTTGATGGCACCTTGTGGCGTAACTTGCATGCCATTTCAATATTGAACCCTTGATCCACAATTGTTTATGCAAACTTCGATTGCAGATGGCCAACCATGCCCCATGTGTGGCCCGGTTGGTCTCTGGTGGAATGTTTGGCACTTTTGGATCTTTCCGATTCACCACTGGATGCTGTATAGCCATACCCCACTGGAGTTTGGCATGGTTCCACATCAGTGACACCCAAAAGAACACTTTTTTAAAGGGCAGAGCTGCTAATCCACTGGCATTTCCGTGCCCAAAATTAGATTCATTAGTTTCTTGAAGTTTCTTGGTTTGTTTGTCCAAAAAGTGAAGGAAGACTCATGAATTCAGGAGTTCAGTCCCAGATATGCTGTGCAGTTTCGGTTTGCAGAGTCGAACGTGATGCACTGGGCGGATCTGGGTGGCATCTCCGATGGTAAACCACGAAACGTATGGCTCGGGGTGGCTTGTGATATCCAATCAAAACAGGCATACGGAAGATACAGCCAATGCAAGGATGGGGATAACTTATTTTCAGAGGGGAAGGAGTTTTTCACATGAGAAGATCATCCTTTATGGGGGGTCAAAATGAAGCAACGCGGTGATGAAATGATCATTCGTCTAGATGCGTACTCCAGAAATTCACTCAACCGAGGACTTGAAAAATATAAAACATTTTGATTTCACTGGTCTGAACAAAAAATGAGGCCTTGACCTAGGCCCTAAGCCCCAGATGGTGCACCACATTCGCCTGCACCTGCACCCTGTCCTGATGGACCTAGTGATTTGACCATCCAAAAACGGATGGTTTTCCAACGCCTTCGTTTTGAGCTCGGACATGGCATGACACTAAGAGGTGCACAATAGAAATCTGGTTGGTGGATGTTGGTGGTATACCTACTCCTCTGAAAAATATGAGTTCGTCAGTTGGGATTATTCCAAACCACCAACCAGAAATGTAGGAATCCAGTTTTAACGTCATGGATGCTGAAAACCTTCTAGGCCATTAGGCCCTAGAATTATGAAATCAGAATATATCAGAGCCACCGTCGCCACTGGCACCAATTTTTTCTCCAAAAAGTGATTCAATTGACCGCACGGATTTGCGCGTGACTTCCCAGAGCTGGGTGGAAATCGGTCGTGTTTTGAGCGTTTTTGCCCGATGGGAATCCAACACTGCCAAGGGAAAATCTCGCCATCTGCCGAAGGTGGAGGATCATCCCACTTAGCAACTGGTTAAGAACACGAGTTTAATGGCTTAATGAACTATATATTCTGTGTGTCTTCATACATATGGGTTTCTCAATGTTTCTGACATGTGTCGATCTGTCATGTTATTTCATTGATTGATGTTTAACTATTGTGCTGTCATGTTCCGACATGTGTCTTTAGTTGCACATGTTTGTCCTAATGTTCACAGTTTTCTGCTACTTGTTCCCAATTTAGAACATGCTGTGGTGGGTATAATTAGGAGGTACCTTGGCTTCATGATTCTAGCTCTTCGTCATCCCATATTGCATTAATCATGATTGATAACCCATAATGATTATGAATTATGACTGATAAAACACTATTTTCTAACAAGAAATGATGATTAGAAACGAGTTTGTAGTTCTATGATCCATGTTCTCCCAATATAGCCTCATTTCCCACCATCATTTCTTGGTAGATGTCCATTTTTTGGCTAGTAGTTAATCCCCAAGTCCAATGGCGAGAAAACCACTAGACTTCAAATGGGTGCCATCAGGTGACAAATTGCTAAAAATCATAAATTGAAAAAATCTAAGTCGATGTTCAAATGACTTTTTTGACGTATCCTAATATGTAACATATCCCAACTTATCACATATGAGTTTCTCATGAACCCTGCCTTTGGGACCCAGAGCTGGCTCAGTCCAGAAGGGTTCATTGCCGCCTGTGCACCGAGACATGTTGGGCGGTGGGCCTGAATATGAGATTGCGTCATGTTCACCAGCCAAAACATGTAACATGATGAAACAACACGGATTCAACGAACAGAATGCTGGTTTTAATTCTTGACTCCATCAATTTCGTTCGGTTCTTAACTCCAAGAACAGGGGTGTCGTACTTGAATCCAACATATCTGCAGGTCAATTCAAGCACGCCTCAAGAAAACACCCCGAGAGACTGCAAGACGTTCAAAGAAACCAAGTGCGCTTTGAGAAATCTGCTTTGCATCGTTTTGCATTCAAAATCCACAGCAAAAAAAAACAAAACCTGTAAAATCGTGGCAAAAGGTCGAACAAATCAGCTCCGCAAGACACTACCTGGCGCAGGTTCCGTTCCACAGTCTCCTCAATGAACTGTGGTCAGTGGCGGTTGAACAGGCACTGGACGTGTTCAAAATTCACCAAACGAGATTTGAAATGCGAAATCCAAAGCTTGCCACAGAAACTTGACTCAACGGCCCCACTCTGATCCAGATTGATCCAGTTGTTTTTTTCGAATCCGCACGCTCTCTGCAGAAAGTCGTGCCTGTAAGTGGCAATCTCTGTGCAAGCAATGGGTGCTGCAGGGCACTGCACAGCCCGAAAGCACGCCTTTTGCCACATGAAAATAGATCCGATGCCACAACCAAAAGAAAAATATCGCAAAATCTTGAAAAATCAGCTCAAGCACTGGTACGAACAGTGAACGCCATCAGCTACAACTCTGCCCAGATTTTGAGCTTTTGCACCTTACTAAGGCCGAAATGCGCACGAGCTGAGGTTCTCTGCTTCCCTGGTGAGTCACAGATCCCCCAAGCGACGGAGAAGATCCGTGAGACCGATCTCAGTGGCATGCTTCGAGCGAAAGCCCAGCTGACCGTCGAAGTGGACAAAAGCTCGAAGGATTTCGTCCCTAGACTTGTGGCCAACCTGCTCTCCATCCACAGAGTTCAGCACATCACCAGGGGAGATTGGCCGTGGGAAGTGCTTCTGCACCTCTGGTTTCACATCACGAACCACCGGAGGAGACGTCCATGCTAGCAAGATGCCACCGATCCAATCACAGCCTTTGTCAGATTCTGCATCTTCTTGGGGCCCATGTTGCAAGGCATCTTGGGCTGACTTGCGCACATCCTCGTCCATGTCGCTGCCATTTCTGAAGCCCATGCTGCCCTTAAAGTCCTGCAAAAGACACAGAATTTGCTCTCGGTTCAGGCCTCTGACATGCTTGCCATCAATCTGGCATAAGATATCACCAGGGGAGATTGGCTGTGGGAAGTGCTTCTGCACCTCTGGTTTCACATCACGAACCACTGGAGGAGACGTCCATGCCAGCAAGATGCCGCCGATCCAATCACAGCCTTTGCCAGATTCTGCATCTTCTTGGGGTCCATGTTGCAAGGCATCTTGGGCTGACTTGCGCACATCCTCGTCCATGTCGCTGCCATTTCTGAAGCCAATGCTGCCCTTAAAGTCCTGCAAAAGACGCAGAATTTGCTCTCGGTTCAGGCCTCTGACATGCTTGCCATCAATCTGGCGTAAGATATAACCAGGGGAGATTGGCCGTGGGAAGTGCTTCTGCACCTCTGGTTTCACATCACGAACCACTGGAGGAGACGTCCATGCCAGCAAGATGCCACCGATCCAATCACAGCCTTTGCCAGATTCTGCATCTTCTTGGGGTCCGTGTTGCAAAGCATCCTGTGCCGACTTTCGGTAATCGTCACCATGACGACTTTGGAAGCCAATGCTGCCCTTGTACTTAACGAGAAGCTTCAAGATTTCTTCGCGACTCAGCTTGCCAACAAGCTTGTTGTCAACCTGATGCAAGACATCACCTGGATTGACTGGGTTCGGGAAATGCTGTTGAACCTCTGGTTGCACCTCACGCACCACGGGTGGAGATGTCCAAGCAAAGAGGAACCCCCAAATCCAATTTTGCCCCTCGCTGTGCTCGGCATCCTTCTCTGGACCTTTCTTTAATGCATGCTTGGCTGATTCCCTGATCGCCATATCATGGCTTCCTCTCTTGAAGCCAATGTTTCCCTTGAACTTCCGCAAAAGGCCTAGGATGTCTTGCCGGCTTAAACCCTTCACAGATTTGCCATCAACTTTACTCAAAGAGTCACCAGGTTGAATTGGCCTTGGGAAATGTTCTTGAACATGCCGTTGGACTTCTTGCACAGTTGGCGGCGATGTCCACGCAAGTCGGATGCCACCAATCCAGTTGCAACCTGTCGAACCTGTCCAATGATTGTCATGTCGTTGCTGTGGCCCATCACGCAAGGCTTCCTGTGCTGACTGGCGAATCGATCCAGGAAAACCATCTCCGATTCCTTCCATCAACATGTCCAGAAACATCTCTCCCCAATCAACTCCAGCATTTCTGGGTGACTTGCTGGGTGACTTGGGCGTTTCATCAGATTCCGCCTGGCTATGACTGGCATCTGATGCTTCAGCTCCGCATGAAGAATCTGATGTTTCAGCCGGGGATTCTGGCGACTTGGATGACTTGGATGACTTGGAAGCGCCCGCCTCTCCAAGGAGCTGCCGTTCCAAACGTCGGATCTTCTCATCTGCTCTGGCGCGTTCAGCCCTGGCCAACTCCAGCTGAGCTCGCAGCACTGCCATCTCTGCTTGCTCTTCCGACTTCGATTTCTTGGATGTTTGGTCCTTTGGGCCCTTTGGACCCTTTGGATCACGTGGCATGAGGCGCCAAAAACACAACAGGTTCGAGTGATTGAACCTTGAACTACGCTGAACTCGAGCACGGCACTGCCAGGGTTGCCAACTTGCTTTCCCTTCACACTTCCAACTAAATCTGAGTTGGGAACCAAAAAAATACATTTGATTCTTCCTGGTGCTGGATGTCATGTTGCAGAACGTCACCTGTTTCTCGACCTGTTTTGCTTAGAAGAGGAGAATGCTGAGATTCGTTCCAGCATCCAGAGGTGAAGCTTGTCTCAACAAGTTGAACAGAATAAAAACCAACACATCTCAAAAAATCCTCCAAGTCATTCCAATCATTGCTCAGATACACCCAAAAAAATTAGGGACTGGGAGAAATTCAGGGGCAAGAGGAAAGCATTGAAAAGACTGTAGCGTACATAATCACATCACCCTATTCTACAGTCTCCTCCGTGGACTGGATGTGTTCAAAATTCACCAAACGAGATTTGAGATGCAGAATCCAAAGCTTGCCACACACTTTTTTCGAATCCGCACGCTCTCTGCAGAAAGTCGTGCCTGTAAGTGGCAATCTCTGTGCAAGCAATGGGTGCTGCAGGGCACTGCACAGCCCGAAAGCACGCCTTTTGCCAAATGAAAATAAATCCGATGCCACAACCAAAAGAAAAATATCGCAAAAACTTGAAAAATCAGCTCAAGCACTGGTACGAACAGTGAACGCCATCAGCTACAACTCTGCCCAGATTTTGAGCTTTTGCACCTTACTAAGGCCGAAATGCGCACGAGCTGAGGTTCTCTGCTTCCCTGGTGAGTCACAGATCCCCTAAGCGACGGAGAAGATCCGCGAGACCAGTGGCATGCTTCGAGCGAAAGCCCAGCTGACCGTCGAAGTGGACAAAAGCTCGAAGGATTTCGTCCCTAGACTTGTGGCCAACCTGCTCTCCATCCACAGAGTTCAGCACATCACCAGGGGAGATTGGCCGTGGGAAGTGCTTCTGCACCTCTGGTTTCACATCACGAACCACTGGAGGAGACGTCCATGCCAGCAAGATGCCGCCGATCCAATCACAGCCTTTGTCAGATTCTGCATCTTCTTGGGGTCCATGTTGCAAGGCATCTTGGGCTGACTTGCGCACATCCTCGTCCATGTCGCTGCCATTTCTGAAGCCAATGCTGCCCTTAAAGTCCTGCAAAAGACGCAGAATTTGCTCTCGGTTCAGGCCTCTGACATGCTTGCCATCAATCTGGCATAAGATATCACCAGGGGAGATTGGCCGTGGGAAGCGCTTCTGCACCTCTGGTTTCACATCACGAACCACCGGAGGAGACGTCCATGCTAGCAAGATGCCACCGATCCAATCACAGCCTTTGCCAGATTCTGCATCTTCTTGGGGTCCGTGTTCCAAAGCATCCTGTGCCGACTTTCGGTAATCGTCACCATGACGACTTTGGAAGCCAATGCTGCCCTTGTACTTAACGAGAAGCTTCAAGATTTCTTCGCGACTCAGCTTGCCAACAAGCTTGTTGTCAACCTGATGCAAGACATCACCTGGATTGACTGGGTTCGGGAAATGCTGTTGAACCTCTGGTTGCACCTCACGCACCACGGGTGGAGATGTCCAAGCAAAGAGGAACCCCCAAATCCAATTTTGCCCCTCGCTGTGCTCGGCATCCTTCTCTGGACCTTTCTTTAATGCATGCTTGGCTGATTCCCTGATCGCCATGTCATGGCTTCCTCTCTTGAAGCCAATGCTTCCCTTGAACTTCCGCAAAAGGCCTAGGATGTCTTGCCGGCTTAAACCCTTCACAGATTTGCCATCAACTTTACTCAAAGAGTCACCAGGTTGAATTGGCCTTGGGAAATGTTCTTGAACATGCCGTTGGACTTCTTGCACAGTTGGCGGCGATGTCCACGCAAGTCGGATGCCACCAATCCAGTTGCAACCTGTCGAACCTGTCCAATGATTGTCATGTCGTTGCTGTGGCCCATCACGCAAGGCTTCCTGTGCTGACTGGCGAATCGATCCAGGAAAACCATCTCCGATTCCTTCCATCAACATGTCCAGAAACATCTCTCCCCAATCAACTCCAGCATTTCTGGGTGACTTGCTGGGTGACTTGGGCGTTTCATCAGATTCCGCCTGGCTATGACTGGCATCTGATGCTTCAGCTCCGCATGAAGAATCTGATGTTTCTGCCGGGGATTCTGGCGACTTGGATGACTTGGATGACTTGGATGACTTGGAAGCGCCCGCCTCTCCAAGGAGCTGCCGTTCCAAACGTCGGATCTTCTCATCTGCTCTGGCGCGTTCAGCCCTGGCCAACTCCAGCTGAGCTCGCAGCACTGCCATCTCTGCTTGCTCTTCCGACTTCGATTTCTTGGATGTTTGGTCCTTTGGGCCCTTTGGACCCTTTGGATCACGTGGCATGAGGCGCCAAAAACACAACAGGTTCGAGTGATTGAACCTTGAACTACGCTGAACTCGAGCACGGCACTGCCAGGGTTGCCAACTTGCTTTCCCTTCACACTTCCAACTAAATCTGAATCAGAAGAACAGACTCTGTCACATTTGATTCTTCCTAGTGCTGAAGGTCATGTTTCAGAACGTCACCTGTTTCTCGACCTGTTTTGCTTAGAAGAGGAGAATGCTGAGATTCGTTCCAGCATCCAGAGGTTCGTAATTCAAGATGTTCACAACATCAAACTGCCTGAAGCTTGTCTCAACAAGTTGAACAGAATAAAAACCAACACATCTCAACAGATCCTCCAATCAATCCAAACAGTCCAAACATTGATGGCTGAGGCAAAAAGAAACAGCCTAGGAGAGACTGGAAGAACTCTACATCACTAGGCTTTGAACGGGTGAAAGACCTCTTAAACGATTCCATCATCTTTGCAAACCGCAAGATTTCATGATTTCATAAGTTTGAAACAAGTCGATCTTACGATGATTTGTTCTGCAATCCCAACATATCCTGAATCCTAACATATCCCAACTCATCACATATGAGTTTCTCCTGAACCCTGCCTTTGGGATCCCAGAGCTGGCTCAGTCCAGAAGGGTTCATTGCCGCCTGTGCACCGAGACATGTTGGGTGGTGGGCCTGAATATGAGATTGCGTCATGTTCACCAGCCAAAACATGTAACATGATGAAACAACACGGATTCAACGAACAGAATGCTGGTTTTAATTCTTGACTCCATCAATTTCGTTCGGTTCTTAACTCCAAGAACAGGGGTGTCGTACTTGAATCCAACATATCTGCAGGTCAATTCAAGCACGCCTCAAGAAAACACCCCGAGAGACTGCAAGACGTTCAAAGAAACCAAGTGCGCTTTGAGAAATCTGCTTTGCATCGTTTTGCATTCAAAATCCACAGCAAAAAAAAAAACAAAACCTGTAAAATCGTGGCAAAAGGTCGAACAAATCAGCTCCGCAAGACACTACCTGGCGCAGGTTCCGTTCCACAGTCTCCTCAATGAACTGTGGTCAGTGGCGGTTGAACAGGCACTGGACGTGTTCAAAATTCACCAAACAAGATTTGAAATGCGAAATCCAAAGCTTGCCACAGAAACTTGACTCAACGGCCCCACTCTGATCCAGATTGATCCAGTTGTTTTTTTCGAATCCGCACGCTCTCTGCAGAAAGTCGTGCCTGTAAGTGGCAATCTCTGTGCAAGCAATGGGTGCTGCAGGGCACTGCACAGCCCGAAAGCACGCCTTTTGCCACATGAAAATAGATCCGATGCCACAACCAAAAGAAAAATATCGCAAAATCTTGAAAAATCAGCTCAAGCACTGGTACGAACAGTGAACGCCATCAGCTACAACTCTGCCCGGATTTTGAGCTTTTGCACCTTACTAAGGCCGAAATGCGCACGAGCTGAGGTTCTCTGCTTCCCTGGTGAGTCACAGATCCCCCAAGCGACGGAGAAGATCCGTGAGACCGATCTCAGTGGCATGCTTCGAGCGAAAGCCCAGCTGACCGTCGAAGTGGACAAAAGCTCGAAGGATTTCGTCCCTAGACTTGTGGCCAACCTGCTCTCCATCCACAGAGTTCAGCACATCACCAGGGGAGATTGGCCGTGGGAAGTGCTTCTGCACCTCTGGTTTCACATCACGAACCACCGGAGGAGACGTCCATGCTAGCAAGATGCCACCGATCCAATCACAGCCTTTGCCAGATTCTGCATCTTCTTGGGGTCCATGTTGCAAGGCATCTTGGGCTGACTTGCGCACATCCTCGTCCATGTCGCTGCCATTTCTGAAGCCAATGCTGCCCTTAAAGTCCTGCAAAAGACGCAGAATTTGCTCTCGGTTCAGGCCTCTGACATGCTTGCCATCAATCTGGCATAAGATATCACCAGGGGAGATTGGCTGTGGGAAGTGCTTCTGCACCTCTGGTTTCACATCACGAACCACCGGAGGAGACGTCCATGCTAGCAAGATGCCACCGATCCAATCACAGCCTTTGTCAGATTCTGCATCTTCTTGGGGTCCATGTTGCAAGGCATCTTGGGCTGACTTGCGCACATCCTCGTCCATGTCGCTGCCATTTCTGAAGCCAATGCTGCCCTTAAAGTCCTGCAAAAGACGCAGAATTTGCTCTCGGTTCAGGCCTCTGACATGCTTGCCATCAATCTGGCGTAAGATATCACCAGGGGAGATTGGCTGTGGGAAGTGCTTCTGCACCTCTGGTTTCACATCACGAACCACTGGAGGAGACGTCCATGCCAGCAAGATGCCACCGATCCAATCACAGCCTTTGTCAGATTCTGCATCTTCTTGGGGTCCATGTTGCAAGGCATCTTGGGCTGACTTGCGCACATCCTCGTCCATGTCGCTGCCATTTCTGAAGCCAATGCTGCCCTTAAAGTCCTGCAAAAGACGCAGAATTTGCTCTCGGTTCAGGCCTCTGACATGCTTGCCATCAATCTGGCGTAAGATATCACCAGGGGAGATTGGCTGTGGGAAGTGCTTCTGCACCTCTGGTTTCACATCACGAACCACTGGAGGAGACGTCCATGCCAGCAAGATGCCGCCGATCCAATCACAGCCTTTGCCAGATTCTGCATCTTCTTGGGGTCCATGTTGCAAGGCATCTTGGGCTGACTTGCGCACATCCTCGTCCATGTCGCTGCCATTTCTGAAGCCAATGCTGCCCTTAAAGTCCTGCAAAAGACGCAGAATTTGCTCTCGGTTCAGGCCTCTGACATGCTTGCCATCAATCTGGCATAAGATATCACCAGGGGAGATTGGCCGTGGGAAGTGCTTCTGCACCTCTGGTTTCACATCACGAACCACTGGAGGAGACGTCCATGCCAGCAAGATGCCGCCGATCCAATCACAGCCTTTGTCAGATTCTGCATCTTCTTGGGGTCCATGTTGCAAGGCATCTTGGGCTGACTTGCGCACATCCTCGTCCATGTCGCTGCCATTTCTGAAGCCAATGCTGCCCTTAAAGTCCTGCAAAAGACGCAGAATTTGCTCTCGGTTCAGGCCTCTGACATGCTTGCCATCAATCTGGCGTAAGATATCACCAGGGGAGATTGGCCGTGGGAAGTGCTTCTGCACCTCTGGTTTCACATCACGAACCACTGGAGGAGACGTCCATGCCAGCAAGATGCCGCCGATCCAATCACAGCCTTTGCCAGATTCTGCATCTTCTTGGGGTCCGTGTTGCAAAGCATCCTGTGCCGACTTTCGGTAATCGTCACCATGACGACTTTGGAAGCCAATGCTGCCCTTGTACTTAACGAGAAGCTTCAAGATTTCTTCGCGACTCAGCTTGCCAACAAGCTTGTTGTCAACCTGATGCAAGACATCACCTGGATTGACTGGGTTCGGGAAATGCTGTTGAACCTCTGGTTGCACCTCACGCACCACGGGTGGAGATGTCCAAGCAAAGAGGAACCCCCAAATCCAATTTTGCCCCTCGCTGTGCTCGGCATCCTTCTCTGGACCTTTCTTTAATGCATGCTTGGCTGATTCCCTGATCGCCATATCATGGCTTCCTCTCTTGAAGCCAATGTTTCCCTTGAACTTCCGCAAAAGGCCTAGGATGTCTTGCCGGCTTAAACCCTTCACAGATTTGCCATCAACTTTACTCAAAGAGTCACCAGGTTGAATTGGCCTTGGGAAATGTTCTTGAACATGCCGTTGGACTTCTTGCACAGTTGGCGGCGATGTCCACGCAAGTCGGATGCCACCAATCCAGTTGCAACCTGTCGAACCTGTCCAATGATTGTCATGTCGTTGCTGTGGCCCATCACGCAAGGCTTCCTGTGCTGACTGGCGAATCGATCCAGGAAAACCATCTCCGATTCCTTCCATCAACATGTCCAGAAACATCTCTCCCCAATCAACTCCAGCATTTCTGGGTGACTTGCTGGGTGACTTGGGCGTTTCATCAGATTCCGCCTGGCTATGACTGGCATCTGATGCTTCAGCTCCGCATGAAGAATCTGATGTTTCAGCCGGGGATTCTGGCGACTTGGATGACTTGGATGACTTGGAAGCGCCCGCCTCTCCAAGGAGCTGCCGTTCCAAACGTCGGATCTTCTCATCTGCTCTGGCGCGTTCAGCCCTGGCCAACTCCAGCTGAGCTCGCAGCACCGCCATCTCTGCTTGCTCTTCCGACTTCGATTTCTTGGATGTTTGGTCCTTTGGGCCCTTTGGACCCTTTGGATCACGTGGCATGAGGCGCCAAAAACACAACAGGTTCGAGTGATTGAACCTTGAACTACGCTGAACTCGAGCACGGCACTGCCAGGGTTGCCAACTTGCTTTCCCTTCACACTTCCAACTAAATCTGAGTTGGGAACCAAAAAAATACATTTGATTCTTCCTGGTGCTGGATGTCATGTTTCAGAATGTCACCTGTTTCTCGACCTGTTTTGCTTAGAAGAGGAGAATGCTGAGATTCGGGCCAGCATCCAGAGGTTCGTAATTCAAGATGTTCACAACATCAAACTGCCTGAAGCTTGTCTCAACAAGTTGAACAGAATAAAAACCAACACATCTCAAAAGATCCCCCAAGTCATTCCAATCATTGCTCAGATACACCAAAAAAAATTAGGGACTGGGAGAAATTCAGGGGCAAGAGGAAAGCATTGAAAAGACTGTAGCGTACATAATCACATCACCCTATTCTACAGTCTCCTCCGTGGACTGGATGTGTTCAAAATTCACCAAACGAGATTTGAAATGCGAAATCCAAAGCTTGCCACACACTTTTTTCGAATCCGCACGCTCTCTGCAGAAAGTCGTGCCTGTAAGTGGCAATCTCTGTGCAAGCAATGGGTGCTGCAGGGCACTGCACAGCCCGAAAGCACGCCTTTTGCCAAATGAAAATAGATCCGATGCCACAACCAAAAGAAAAATATCGCAAAATCTTGAAAAATCAGCTCAAGCACTGGTACGAACAGTGAACGCCATCAGCTACAACTCTGCCCAGATTTTGAGCTTTTGCACCTTACTAAGGCCGAAATGCGCACGAGCTGAGGTTCTCTGCTTCCCTGGTGAGTCACAAATCCCCCAAGCGACGGAGAAGATCCGCGAGACCAGTGGCATGCTTCGAGCGAAAGCCCAGCTGACCGTCGAAGTGGACAAAAGCTCGAAGGATTTCGTCCCTAGACTTGTGGCCAACCTGCTCTCCATCCACAGAGTTCAGCACATCACCAGGGGAGATTGGCCGTGGGAAGTGCTTCTGCACCTCTGGTTTCACATCACGAACCACCGGAGGAGACGTCCATGCTAGCAAGATGCCACCGATCCAATCACAGCCTTTGCCAGATTCTGCATCTTCTTGGGGTCCATGTTGCAAGGCATCTTGGGCTGACTTGCGCACATCCTCGTCCATGTCGCTGCCATTTCTGAAGCCAATGCTGCCCTTAAAGTCCTGCAAAAGACGCAGAATTTGCTCTCGGTTCAGGCCTCTGACATGCTTGCCATCAATCCGGCATAAGATATCACCAGGGGAGATTGGCCGTGGGAAGCGCTTCTGCACCTCTGGTTTCACATCACGAACCACCGGAGGAGACGTCCATGCTAGCAAGATGCCACCGATCCAATCACAGCCTTTGCCAGATTCTGCATCTTCTTGGGGTCCGTGTTCCAAAGCATCCTGTGCCGACTTTCGGTAATCGTCACCATGACGACTTTGGAAGCCAATGCTGCCCTTGTACTTAACGAGAAGCTTCAAGATTTCTTCGCGACTCAGCTTGCCAACAAGCTTGTTGTCAACCTGATGCAAGACATCACCTGGATTGACTGGGTTCGGGAAATGCTGTTGAACCTCTGGTTGCACCTCACGCACCACGGGTGGAGATGTCCAAGCAAAGAGGAACCCCCAAATCCAATTTTGCCCCTCGCTGTGCTCGGCATCCTTCTCTGGACCTTTCTTTAATGCATGCTTCGCTGATTCCCTGATCACCATGTCATGGCTTCCTCTCTTGAAGCCAATGCTTCCCTTAAACTTCCGCAAAAGGCCTAGGATGTCTTGCCGGCTTAAACCCTTCACAGATTTGCCATCAACTTTACTCAAAGAGTCACCAGGTTGAATTGGCCTTGGGAAATGTTCTTGAACATGCCGTTGGACTTCTTGCACAGTTGGCGGCGATGTCCACGCAAGTCGGATGCCACCAATCCAGTTGCAACCTGTCGAACCTGTCCAATGATTGTCATGTCGTTGCTGTGGCCCATCACGCAAGGCTTCCTGTGCTGACTGGCGAATCGATCCAGGAAAACCATCTCCGATTCCTTCCATCAACATGTCCAGAAACATCTCTCCCCAATCAACTCCAGCATTTCTGGGTGACTTGCTGGGTGACTTGGGCGTTTCATCAGATTCCGCCTGGCTATGACTGGCATCTGATGCTTCAGCTCCGCATGAAGAATCTGATGTTTCAGCCGGGGATTCTGGCGACTTGGATGACTTGGATGACTTGGAAGCGCCCGCCTCTCCAAGGAGCTGCCGTTCCAAACGTCGGATCTTCTCATCTGCTCTGGCGCGTTCAGCCCTGGCCAACTCCAGCTGAGCTCGCAGCACCGCCATCTCTGCTTGCTCTTCCGACTTCGATTTCTTGGATGTTTGGTCCTTTGGGCCCTTTGGACCCTTTGGATCACGTGGCATGAGGCGCCAAAAACACAACAGGTTCGAGTGATTGAACCTTGAACTACGCTGAACTCGAGCACGGCACTGCCAGGGTTGCCAACTTGCTTTCCCTTCACACTTCCAACTAAATCTGAGTTGGGAACCAAAAAAATACATTTGATTCTTCCTGGTGCTGGATGTCATGTTTCAGAATGTCACCTGTTTCTCGACCTGTTTTGCTTAGAAGAGGAGAATGCTGAGATTCGGGCCAGCATCCAGAGGTTCGTAATTCAAGATGTTCACAACATCAAACTGCCTGAAGCTTGTCTCAACAAGTTGAACAGAATAAAAACCAACACATCTCAAAAGATCCTCCAATTCATTCCAAACATTGCTCAGATACACCAAAAAAAATTAGGGACTGGGAGAAATTCAGGGGCAAGAGGAAAGCATTGAAAAGACTGTAGCGTACATAATCACATCACCCTATTCTACAGTCTCCTCCGTGGACTGGATGTGTTCAAAATTCACCAAACGAGATTTGAGATGCGGAATCCAAAGCTTGCCACACACTTTTTTCGAATCCGCACGCTCTCTGCAGAAAGTCGTGCCTGTAAGTGGCAATCTCTGTGCAAGCAATGGGTGCTGCAGGGCACTGCACAGCCCGAAAGCACGCCTTTTGCCAAATGAAAATAGATCCGATGCCACAACCAAAAGAAAAATATCGCAAAATCTTGAAAAATCAGCTCAAGCACTGGTACGAACAGTGAACGCCATCAGCTACAACTCTGCCCAGATTTTGAGCTTTTGCACCTTACTAAGGCCGAAATGCGCACGAGCTGAGGTTCTCTGCTTCCCTGGTGAGTCACAAATCCCCCAAGCGACGGAGAAGATCCGCGAGACCAGTGGCATGCTTCGAGCGAAAGCCCAGCTGACCGTCGAAGTGGACAAAAGCTCGAAGGATTTCGTCCCTAGACTTGTGGCCAACCTGCTCTCCATCCACAGAGTTCAGCACATCACCAGGGGAGATTGGCCGTGGGAAGTGCTTCTGCACCTCTGGTTTCACATCACGAACCACTGGAGGAGACGTCCATGCCAGCAAGATGCCACCGATCCAATCACAGCCTTTGTCAGATTCTGCATCTTCTTGGGGTCCATGTTGCAAGGCATCTTGGGCTGACTTGCGCACATCCTCGTCCATGTCGCTGCCATTTCTGAAGCCAATGCTGCCCTTAAAGTCCTGCAAAAGACGCAGAATTTGCTCTCGGTTCAGGCCTCTGACATGCTTGCCATCAATCTGGCGTAAGATATCACCAGGGGAGATTGGCTGTGGGAAGTGCTTCTGCACCTCTGGTTTCACATCACGAACCACTGGAGGAGACGTCCATGCCAGCAAGATGCCGCCGATCCAATCACAGCCTTTGTCAGATTCTGCATCTTCTTGGGGTCCATGTTGCAAGGCATCTTGGGCTGACTTGCGCACATCCTCGTCCATGTCGCTGCCATTTCTGAAGCCAATGCTGCCCTTAAAGTCCTGCAAAAGACGCAGAATTTGCTCTCGGTTCAGGCCTCTGACATGCTTGCCATCAATCTGGCATAAGATATCACCAGGGGAGATTGGCTGTGGGAAGTGCTTCTGCACCTCTGGTTTCACATCACGAACCACTGGAGGAGACGTCCATGCCAGCAAGATGCCACCGATCCAATCACAGCCTTTGTCAGATTCTGCATCTTCTTGGGGTCCATGTTGCAAGGCATCTTGGGCTGACTTGCGCACATCCTCGTCCATGTCGCTGCCATTTCTGAAGCCAATGCTGCCCTTAAAGTCCTGCAAAAGACGCAGAATTTGCTCTCGGTTCAGGCCTCTGACATGCTTGCCATCAATCTGGCGTAAGATATCACCAGGGGAGATTGGCTGTGGGAAGTGCTTCTGCACCTCTGGTTTCACATCACGAACCACTGGAGGAGACGTCCATGCCAGCAAGATGCCGCCGATCCAATCACAGCCTTTGTCAGATTCTGCATCTTCTTGGGGTCCATGTTGCAAGGCATCTTGGGCTGACTTGCGCACATCCTCGTCCATGTCGCTGCCATTTCTGAAGCCAATGCTGCCCTTAAAGTCCTGCAAAAGACGCAGAATTTGCTCTCGGTTCAGGCCTCTGACATGCTTGCCATCAATCTGGCGTAAGATATCACCAGGGGAGATTGGCCGTGGGAAGCGCTTCTGCACCTCTGGTTTCACATCACGAACCACTGGAGGAGACGTCCATGCCAGCAAGATGCCGCCGATCCAATCACAGCCTTTGCCAGATTCTGCATCTTCTTGGGGTCCATGTTGCAAGGCATCCTGGGCCGACTTTCGGTAATCGTCACCATGACGACTTTGGAAGCCAATGCTGCCCTTGTACTTAACGAGAAGCTTCAAGATGTCTTCGCGACTCAGCTTGCCAACAAGCTTGTTGTCAACCTGATGCAAGACATCACCTGGATTGACTGGGTTCGGGAAATGCTGTTGAACCTCTGGTTGCACCTCACGCACCACGGGTGGAGATGTCCAAGCAAAGAGGAACCCCCAAATCCAATTTTGCCCCTCGCTGTGCTCGGCATCCTTCTCTGGACCTTTCTTTAATGCATGCTTGGCTGATTCCCTGATCGCCATGTCATGGCTTCCTCTCTTGAAGCCAATGCTTCCCTTGAACTTCCGCAAAAGGCCTAGGATGTCTTGCCGGCTTAAACCCTTCACAGATTTGCCATCAACTTTACTCAAAGAGTCACCAGGTTGAATTGGCCTTGGGAAATGTTCTTGAACATGCCGTTGGACTTCTTGCACAGTTGGCGGCGATGTCCACGCAAGTCGGATGCCACCAATCCAGTTGCAACCTGTCGAACCTGTCCAATGATTGTCATGTCGTTGCTGTGGCCCATCACGCAAGGCTTCCTGTGCTGACTGGCGAATCGATCCAGGAAAACCATCTCCGATTCCTTCCATCAACATGTCCAGAAACATCTCTCCCCAATCAACTCCAGCATTTCTGGGTGACTTGCTGGGTGACTTGGGCGTTTCATCAGATTCCGCCTGGCTATGACTGGCATCTGATGCTTCAGCTCCGCATGAAGAATCTGATGTTTCAGCCGGGGATTCTGGCGACTTGGATGACTTGGATGACTTGGAAGCGCCCGCCTCTCCAAGGAGCTGCCGTTCCAAACGTCGGATCTTCTCATCTGCTCTGGCGCGTTCAGCCCTGGCCAACTCCAGCTGAGCTCGCAGCACCGCCATCTCTGCTTGCTCTTCCGACTTCGATTTCTTGGATGTTTGGTCCTTTGGGCCCTTTGGACCCTTTGGATCACGTGGCATGAGGCGCCAAAAACACAACAGGTTCGAGTGATTGAACCTTGAACTACGCTGAACTCGAGCACGGCACTGCCAGGGTTGCCAACTTGCTTTCCCTTCACACTTCCAACTAAATCTGAGTTGGGAACCAAAAAAATACATTTGATTCTTCCTGGTGCTGGATGTCATGTTTCAGAACGTCACCTGTTTCTCGACCTGTTTTGCTTAGAAGAGGAGAATGCTGAGATTCGGGCCAGCATCCAGAGGTTCGTAATTCAAGATGTTCACAACATCAAACTGCCTGAAGCTTGTCTCAACAAGTTGAACAGAATAAAAACCAACACATCTCAAAAGATCCTCCAATCAATCCAAACAGTCCAAACATTGATGGCTGAGGCAAAAAGAAACAGCCTAGGAGAGACTGGAAGAACTCTACATCACTAGGCTTTGAACGGGTGAAAGACCTCTTAAACGATTCCATCATCTTTGCAAACCGCAAGATTTCATGATTTCATAAGTTTGAAACAAGTCGATCTTACGATGATTTGTTCTGCAATCCCAACATATCCTGAATCCTAACATATCCCAACTCATCACATATGAGTTTCTCCTGAACCCTGCCTTTGGGATCCCAGAGCTGGCTCAGTCCAGAAGGGTTCATTGCCGCCTGTGCACCGAGACATGTTGGGTGGTGGGCCTGAATATGAGATTGCGTCATGTTCACCAGCCAAAACATGTAACATGATGAAACAACACGGATTCAACGAACAGAATGCTGGTTTTAATTCTTGACTCCATCAATTTCGTTCGGTTCTTAACTCCAAGAACAGGGGTGTCGTACTTGAATCCAACATATCTGCAGGTCAATTCAAGCACGCCTCAAGAAAACACCCCGAGAGACTGCAAGACGTTCAAAGAAACCAAGTGCGCTTTGAGAAATCTGCTTTGCATCGTTTTGCATTCAAAATCCACAGCAAAAAAAAACAAAACCTGTAAAATCGTGGCAAAAGGTCGAACAAATCAGCTCCGCAAGACACTACCTGGCGCAGGTTCCGTTCCACAGTCTCCTCAATGAACTGTGGTCAGTGGCGGTTGAACAGGCACTGGACGTGTTCAAAATTCACCAAACAAGATTTGAAATGCGAAATCCAAAGCTTGCCACAGAAACTTGACTCAACGGCCCCACTCTGATCCAGATTGATCCAGTTGTTTTTTTCGAATCCGCACGCTCTCTGCAGAAAGTCGTGCCTGTAAGTGGCAATCTCTGTGCAAGCAATGGGTGCTGCAGGGCACTGCACAGCCCGAAAGCACGCCTTTTGCCACATGAAAATAAATCCGATGCCACAACCAAAAGAAAAATATCGCAAAATCTTGAAAAATCAGCTCAAGCACTGGTACGAACAGTGAACGCCATCAGCTACAACTCTGCCCAGATTTTGAGCTTTTGCACCTTACTAAGGCCGAAATGCGCACGAGCTGAGGTTCTCTGCTTCCCTGGTGAGTCACAGATCCCCCAAGCGACGGAGAAGATCCGTGAGACCGATCTCAGTGGCATGCTTCGAGTGAAAGCCCAGCTGACATTCATCATTCATTTCTTCATTGATGATTCCCTTGCACCTACGCCTCAAACCAGCGGCCATCGTAGCGTAGCTACAACTCTCCCAGCCTCGGATGGCGGCTGCCACTTGACCCTTGCTGGATGCTGTCGCAAAGCCAGATGCCACCGGGACGGAACCTGGCCGAATGCTGCGCCACCAGGGCGGAAACGGGAGCGGATATACCCCATGGGCCCTATGGTTCTCCAAGGGGGGGGTATAGTTAAGGCTCAGGCTAGGTAATCATTAAGGATAGAGTTTGAAGTCTGAACACTTTATCCAAAAGTTCAAGGATTCAAGGATATAGATCGTTAAATACAGCCAACTATTTTAGACCGCCTTGTTGATTGTAATTATCATCTACTGCAATATGAATCAATGTGATACGTGTGTGGTACAATAACATACAATGACATGATACATCAAATCGGATAAAGTCGTTCCAGCTTTCATCAAGTACAGTACCATCACCGTCCCCTTGCTGATCTCTATGGGACCAGCCTGTACTTTTGCTTGAGGATTTTACCACCTCAGTGTCCAGACATGTGGAGACGTGGTGACATGTCATGTAGAGACATTGAAACAGAATGCAAAGACAATGTCGCAGTGTCGAGTAAGCAGTGAGCTGTGATTGCAAATGGAATTTCTCGACAAGCCAAATTGTCCGACCACGGACTGTGATCCACTCCAAACCACGTCATGCAGTGCATGTTTGAAAAAACATGGAAAAAAAACATAAGTTGTCCTTGCCTTCTCTTTCGATGGGGGCAGCCGTCGGAGCATCTCCTCGATTTCCAGACAAACGATTGCAAACCGCCAAAATCACAGAATCAGTGTGTGGCAAAAGTCATAATCATTCTGCTGAAAACGACATGTTGAAACATTGAAGTTCAATGTGGTTCGTTTAAATTCCTTTACTAATCTTCAAGTAACCCATTCCTGAACTGTTTCCCAGACTATAGAATAGCCTGCTCCAGGTGCGCAAGAAACGATCAGAAATGAACTTCGAAAATCTCGCCTCTGCTTCCTGAAGGTCAGGGTCAGCTGGCAACACCAAGCATCTCCGCCTGCAGCGCTTAGGGAAACCAGCGGGCAAACCATGGAAAGGATGGGGAAACTGATCAACTCCCTTCATCTTCTGCCTTCTGCCTGCTCTCCGCCACCTGCATTATCCTTTTGACATCTTTTGACTTCAAATTACAGAAACTGAAACATCTTAAACATTCTTAAACGCTGAAATCCTTCCCACCATGTAGTTCCAAATCACACATACATGACATATCAAGACACACTACATATATCTACATATTAAAATTATACGTTCTTGCGAAAAGCATCCAAGAGCCATGTCCGCTAATCAGGACGAAGCAAAAGGTTCCTGTGAATCCTCCCGTCAACCCATCCAGATGAGCTGCACATCTGAGGCCAACTGAGGCCAACTGAGGCCCAAAATTTGCAGGAAATTCAACGCAAACTGCCCCATCATATCATATCATATCCATAAACGTCCATAATCATCCGTTGTCACAAAAATGAACGCTCATGTTGGCAACTTACAAATTCTCCATTCGATCACATCAAAGATATTCAAAGATCACGAATCTCAATCCAAGAAATCCACCATGCAATCACATGATTTAAACATATTTAAACCCAAAACAAAAAAAAACTCGAAACCCACTGGGAGATCTCACCTGGGATCTGAGATGATCTGGGAGTCCAGGCAGCATCAGCTCTCAATGTCAAGCCTGCAAGGTTACACCTGGGTTCGGAGTCCCGATGAGACACCGGACACCTGCCCGATTGAAATCAAATTGCCAAAATCCGCTCACGAAAGCCCTGCCAATTTGCATGGTAAGCCATAAACACGCAATAACATGCATATATGAGGCATATATGGTTCAAATGGTCGATTTCCCTAACAACAAAATAGAGAAACCTGAGAAGGGTGGAACGATAGCCAGCACACTTTTGCCGCCTCAAAATGGCATCATCATGTTTATAGGGTCCCGTTTCGAATGGAGAGCTGTGGTGTATGTGTTCACTGCTGCGAAGACTTGCAACCAACATTCATCAGGAAAGTTATTAAGCATTGAATCAATCATTGGGAGGGAGGTTTGCTGGGAAGTTTCGAGGGAGTGATTTGAGCAGTGGATTGAAAGAGTAGGATGGAGTAGGGGCAAACAATGGGAGTAAACTTCTTTTGCCATGGATGTTTTGTCCAAGATTATCCATGGGTGGAAGTGTGTGAAGATGACTTGCGTGTCCACATTTTCTGCATTTCAATGCGGCACTTGTATGGGAGAAGTATAGAAAGATGTTTCGACTATAAACTCTTGGTTCTCAGCAACAGCACTTCCTCTCTGTGGATAAACACCTCAAAAATCGCATTGTAATGTTTGTAGTTCCTCACCTTTGAAGGGAGAGATATGGCGCATTAAGGTGTTACAGTCAGTTTGTAGGACGCATGTAAACCGGTAAGTCACTCAACATGTCTATTATATTTATCTATTACTTATTATATATACTGTAAATATATTATATATATATATGATTTATAACATGTCACCGGGGCATATGGAAGTTTTGTATTGATTTTTTTTGTATGCTTGGCCGCGGCGATCTCGCATCAACATGCCAGACTAAAAGATAGTTCGTTGGGATTGGCGACATCTGCATACGGCACTCTGAGCTTAGTCATACAGCGGCTTTTGGACCGGTGGCTGCGTGGTTCATCTTGCAAAATCATTTAAATCATATTGGAACTGCTGCCATTATATGCATATACATGCTTCGCCCAGTCAACATCACCCAGCTCTTGGATTTGTCAGTTTGCTGGACGTGGTTTCCAACCAATGCAGACACAATTCGGTTGAGAAAATGCAAACCTCTTCGTTCCACCTCCTTAGTAACTCTCTTGATGAACATGAAAAAAATTAGATGCTCTGCCTCCTCGCCCAGTCTGCACACCCCCTAATCTGCCAAAAACAACTTTGCTCGGCCATTTGCTTGGTTTTCATGATGATGTTGTAAAGAATGCTAAATTTGGTTACTTATATTTGTTTTCTAAAGACATAGAGAATGCTTGTAAATTAATGCTATTCACCATCATTTTATATAGGGAATTACGTTACCATTTATTTCGTAATTCACCGGCCATGTTGTAAATGCGTTGCTAAATCTTTGAATGGTGAATATATATATATAATATAATATATATATATGTGTGTGTGTGTTTTTTAATTTAATCCGGTTATATTTGGTTTCTTAATAATTCGTCCAAAATTCGACGTCTCCAAGGTCACTGAAACGATCTTGGGGCGCTTGCCAGCTGCCAAGTCACCGAACAACACCACTTTGCACCTGCTTGCGGTCGCGATTCACACGTACGTCGTGGTCAAACGTGGTCAACATGCCAGGATATGTGAGTCTTGAAGACTCTTGAACCTCAAGAGGAAAAGTAAAGTTGACTCGCAATATTCAATTGTGAACCAAACCCAGGTAGCCTCAGAACCAGAGGTGGAGGCTGCACCTCAAGAGTTCAAAGGCTGATTTAGAAATTGTATACTGACTGTCAGAGGTTGTCAGGTGTGACTGTCACAGTGATGTCTGGTGCTAATTTTCTGCTGAAGCAGAAGACCACACAAACAACTGAGAAGACAGAGAGGGCGCCGAAAGGATTGCCACCATATGTCTAACCATGAAAAGTTTCACATCACTTACAACCATTTGCTACAACTGAAGAGAAAACTACAATAGTTTTTGCTTTTACTGATCTTGGCTGGGTGTTTAAACTGATGTAAACTGGGAGTGTTCATGCAAAGTTTCTCAAGTCTCGTGCCTCTCCACCTTCTTCGGGCGGGGGCGGCGGCGGCGGTGGAGGCAAACCTATGTCACTCATGGCCCAAGGGAATGGCAGTTTTTCGCTTTCCCCAAACTGAAACCAAAAGCAGAAGTGGCACAAAACATTGAGTAAACGGATCCTAGCATGCTACTTTTTCGACAACTCTAGCCAAAAACACGGCCCACATATCCCTACACGCTGCTGCTGTTGCAGAGTGCAAATGCGTTGCAATTCCTTTGAAACTGGCAAGCAAACCAAGGATCGATCTATTGGAAAAAACAAAAAGACAGCTGGAGATACGCAGACTTTGCTTGAACCCCAGGGCCTGAAGTAAATGGACAATATGTTTCATGCCCAAATGATCACATGGTTTTCATGTGAATGAAATGCCAAGCTGAATCTTCTCGAACTTCCTGATTTGTGCGTGTCATCCTGATGCAGGTGGCCATGTATACATCCATGGGTGTGACAACAAATCGTGTGCATTCCTCCTTGGGGAGGTGAAGTTTCAACTCATCTCACCACCCATAGATTTTGGTCCACGCGGCCACATGCACTTTTCCAGATCACACATGTTTCAAATCTTCCAATTTTTTCTGCAATTTCCTTTTGGAATATCACCAGTTGTAAAACAGGCATGGCGGGAGTTGCGTGTATTCCCATGCAAAAGTGCAAAATGCACTACAGAACATTATAGGGAGTAACTCTGATTCCCCTTTTCATTTTCCACCAGACTTCACACAGATTTTTTTTAGTTTGCAGCATAGACCACTTGAGGCCGGGGGTGGATGACGAAAGCTAGCGGGGTAGGAGAAAGAAGGAAGGGAAGACGTAGCTTCAGTGTCAGCACGGAAATGTCGGTGGCGTTTCCGCGTCAAACCCTAAGTGAGGATGCTGACCTTCTACCGGCCGGAAATCTCCTCTCGGGAAGGCTCGGGGGGGACCAGGGGGGGGATCGAACCTGATGCCGATGATGACGATGATGATGAGGATGGTGATGATGATGATGATGATGATGATGATGATGATGGTGAAGCGGATGCGGCAGATGATCGGGCTGATGATGAGGAGGAAGATGATGATAAGGATGAGGAGATGATGATGATGATGACGACGACGATGATGATGATGATCATGATGATGATGATGATGATCACGATGACGAGAACGATGCCAATGACCATGACGATGACGAAACCGATGACGATGACGATGATGACGATGATGCTGATGATGGTGATGGTGGTGGGGTTGGGGGGGCCCTTTCGCGTGAAAAATCACGTGGTGTCCTTGAGC